TGACCCACCCACCCACTATTTGGAAAAAAGATCGAAATTTTAAAACATTGAAAATTCTGAATGGCCCCTTAGGGCTTAACCTTGTATTCTAGCAAAATTGGGCAAAAAGAAATGTTTATAAAAAATTTTAAACTGTAAGAGGTGTACCTTGTATATTTAGTAAAATTTGGCAAAATCAGATTTGTATGAAAAATCTAAAATGGTAAGGGGTTAACCTTGCTTTTTTTAGCAAAATTTCGAGCATCTTATACTAAAATTGGGCAGAATCAGATGCTTCTATGAATCCAGATGTAAAGTTTCCGCTATGAATACAAGGTTCACCCCTTACAATTTGAGATTTTTCATATAAATCTGATATTGCCCAGTTATGCTAAAAATGCCAAGTTAACCCCTTACAATCTTCAATTTTTAAGAAACATCTGATTTTTCCCAATTTCGCTTAAAAAAGCAAGGTGAACCCCTTACAATCTGCAATTTTCCAGAAACATCTGATTTTGCCCTAATTTGGCAAGGTTAACCCCTTACAATTTTAGATTTTTTATACAAATCTGATTTTGCCCAATTTTGCTAAAAATGCAAGGTGAACCCCTTACAATCTGACATTTTTCATAAACACCTGATTTTGCCCTATTTTGCTAAAAAATGCAAGGTTCTCCCCTTACAATTTGAGATTTTTCATTAACATTTAAATTTGCCCAATTTTACTAAAAAAGCAAGGTTAACCCCTTACAATTTGAAATTTTTCATTCACATCTTATTTTGCCAAATATCACTAAAAAAGCAAGGTAAACCCCTTACAATCTGAAATTTTTCAGAAAGATCTGATTTTGCCCAATTTCGCTAAAAATACAAGGTTCACCCCTTACAATTTGAGATTTTTCATATAAATCTGATATTGCCCAGTTATGCTAAAAATGCCAAGTCAACCCCTTACTATCTGCAATTTTCAAGAAACATCTGATTTTGCCCTAATTTGGCAAGGGTAACCCCTTACAATTTTTGATTTTTCATACAAATTTGATTTTGCCCAATTTTGCTCAAACTGCAAAGTTGCCCCTTACCATCTGAAATTTTCCATAAACACCTGATTTTGCCCTATTTTGCTAAAAAATGCAAGGTTAACCACTGACAATTTGAAATTTTTCATAAACATTTACATTTTCCCAATTTTACTAAAAAAGCAAGGTTAACACCTTACAATTTGAAATTTTTCATACACATCTTATTTTGCCAAATTTTACTACAAAAGCTAGGTTAATCCCTTACAATCTGAAATGTTCCAGAAAGATCTGATTTTGCCCAATTTCGCTAAAAAATGCAAGGTTCACCCCTTACAATTTGAAATGTTTCATAAACATCTAAATTTTACTGAAAATGCAAGGTGAACCCCTTACAAGCTGCAATTTTCCAGAAACATCTGATTTTTCCCAATTTTGCTAAAATGTAAACTGTTAAATCAATACATGAAGTGTCCCATTTGACTTTTTTAAAACAAATTATTTTTCCAGTTTTTAGGGAAAGGAATTTTCTCTTTTTCCCTTCTCTTTTGTTGTTGCTATATTTTGCGAATTAACTCATTCGTATGGAATGCTCATAGTCAATCAAAGAATATTTCACACATAGGGGCCTAAGGCCAAAAAAAAAAAGTCTCCGGTTTCTGGTATGCGCGCGCGTCGCCGTAGCCATGCGCGTCGGCAAAATGAAAAAGGTTTTTTTTTCAATACAAGATGATGTCTCAAAACCGCCAAACTCACTTGTTTGCCTGGAATCCTGCTGCTGCACAATTTTAACGTGTTTTTAGATGGGGTTATGATCGAGAATAAGCTTTATGTGGCCTCTCTGGACTCCCATATGTTTGCACTTAAAGTTTAGTCGGGCACCATTTGCAGTCATCAGCCGACATTTGAAGCCAAAAAAAAAAAAAAAAACAGGTAAAAAAAAAAAAAAAAGCTGCGTCGCCGCACCACTTTTGGGGCAAGCTCCATACCAGAAACCCGAGACTTTTTTTTTTGGGCCTAAATTATATTTTTTTAAATTTAATAGAGACGCATTGATCGTGCTATCATATTCCATTCTTTTACTATTGCGAATTACTGTATTGTTTGGAATGCATACACAATTAAAGACACGTTATTTGAACGATGTATAAATAATATTTATACTACAATGTACATCTTTATTCTTTCCCGGTATAATTTATGGCGTTTCTTACGTCAATTGGCAATCGCGTCATTATATAATGATAGTCAAATTGATCAAACGAAACTTTGTTTTGATTATAGTCAATTATGAAATATTCATTGATTTATGACATACACCTTTGTTTCAATTTTGATACTACCCGTAGACCTGCCGAGCAGCTGTAGATATCAAACTAAACCAAAGTATAAAAGATAGAGGGTAAAAAAAATCAAAAAGTTATGTGCTAGTCAAGCTTTCAGGGATCGGTCTGAGCCATAACAATGCCCCAGCCGATCCCTTAGTTCTCTTCCGGGGTCTCGGCGTCCCCGACCAATACACACTTCCTTCCCTATCCATCCATATAACCCCGGAGGGCCAGGCACCATGTAAAAGCAAAGAGCTAAGGGAGGAACAGGGCGGCCCCTAAGCCCTGATCCTCCGAGTGGACCACATGCCCTGAACCTGTACGAAGGCGCCAACCTGGAACTCGCGGACAGTACCAGCAGCAGTGCTTACCGATTAAGCTAAGGTACTGTTGGTAGTTTACGACGGGAAATTAAATCTCTTATAGTGAATAATTGAACTCATTCGTTAGAAACCAAAAAGACACCAGCGGGATTCGAACCCGGGACCCCGCTAACCGTGGACGACGAATCGTAACCACTCGGCCATTTCGTTACCTTAGAATTGTCCTTAAACTGAGAAATGTTGTCTTTATAGGTGAGCAAACGCGCCAGGAAGATTACTGGGTCCATTCGCTTTACCTTAATGGGTAAAAACAAGTCGATATAATGAGCCCAGTGTGTTTGGTTTGTTAGGAAGCTGCATAACACAGCCTAATGTGCAAAACAGTCGTGTGCTAGGCGGATCATTACGCAACAATGAACACCGCAATTGTGTATTTTCAAAAGGCAGACGCGTAGATTTCTACTCTTTGTATCTGGGCACATATAGATTCTCACCTCCCTCTTCAGCTATTTGGACTTTCTTAAAAAGAAAAATAGAGACTGGCAGCGAATCTCCGGGAGTTGAAATAAGGGTCGTCCCCTCGATAGACCTCAGACTCAGCAAAGTTCAACATTGGGCTCTTTTTCAACAGCTGTTTTAGCGGAAACTTTACATCTGGATTTTTTAGAAGCATCTGATTTTGCCCAATTTTAGTAAAATATGCTCAAAATTTTGCCTAGTCGCTTCCATTTTTAAAAGAAGGGTGAGTAAGGAAACCGTTAGAGCAAATAACTGTAAGTTCAGATGAAAAATAAGTTCATACCCTCAAATAATTTGTTGAAATACCTTTATAAGTAAAGTTAAAATAAGATAATGTAATAACAATTACGCAGTCACGATCTCGTGGAAAACGAGACTCGCATTTTTTGTTTTTAAATTTTGTGCAAGCATCCGACGTGACGCGTCGACGCGTCCGCGTCCGGGTGGTAGCCACGCACGCACGAAAAGGCTGATGATTGGTTGGAATTTTGCTACCCTGTTGGGGTAGCAAAAATCGAGATTATAAAGAAAAAACATAAGAGTTTCTCGACAAGTTGCAAAAGGCCCTCGTGGCTTCGCCACTCGCATGTGTGGTCTCCATCTCCAGTCGCTTCGCGTTCGTCGCTTTGAATACGGGCAAGTTAAGCCACGATGGCGTTGGTGAAAGGCTGGGGGGGGGGGCAAGTGGCCCCACCCTCTGTCAGAGGAGGGCACTGGATACCTATAATATAGGATACTCTGAATGTACTGAAATTATTTTTCACAAATTACAAATTTTGGCATTATTGTTTAACATGTACATTTGAACTTTATTGCTTGATTTCACAAACTTATATGCATGACAATGGATGATTCATCATGAAAGACTATCAAAACAAACTGTCTTACCGAACAATGTACGAGCCCATTTTATTTATGTTTAGTATTCAACTTCAAAAATTATATACAATGCACATGTGATGAAATTCAAGCTTACTTCTTTTATTACAGCAAGCTGATTAAGGCACTCATTACTCAAGTGCATTTACAGGGTCTATTCATGTTCAGATAAGAAACACAAACTTTTGAGTAGTAAACAAACCAGAGAGAATCAATGTGCAGGACCAGAAAGTTTGGAATGGTGTTAAAAGTTTTCTGACCAAAGTCTTCCCATCTACAAAACTGGATTTCACAACTTGTTTCAGGCAAAACTGAAGTTCTTTCTTTTTCACTGAAACAAGTTATCCGGGCAAAAAGGTGCATAGTTACAACCGTATCTTTCTCAAATGCTTCGAAAAGGCATCATCAACTTCTCTCAAACACTGCTGAAAACAAGCTAACTAAGGCCAAGTTCGCGCAAGGACTATAGTTGACCAATGGTTAACTAACGTTTGCCCAAACTCTGTCTAGTCGACGATGGTTGACTACGCTAGTCGACTATTTGGAACCAGCCTGCTGGGGTTGGTTGCTTTGCTGGTAACCAATATTGCGCGCATTCATAACGCTAGCAGAGAGCCAGGATTCAGAAGTTTTGCGATGACATTTTGACCAGCGTTCGACTAGAGACATTCGCACGTACTATTAGTGCGCAGGCGTAAGGTTCATCACAAATCAACCACTAGTCGACTAATGGTCCTTGCCCGAACTTGGCCTATGCTTACTGATGTGTAAATGACTCCATAAAAAAAAATTATAATTTCATCAAAAATACCATCAAAGGGAAACTGACACATACATTGACTGAAACAACAGGGTTAATGGCGAAGACTGACAATCTGGAGACAGCCAAAAGGATCTAGCTCATTGGTGGAGAAACAGTCAAGTTTTCTGAACGTCACAAGTTCAAAGCCAGCTCCGGTCATTTCTATGTTCAACCTTATATTTATTAAGAAAATAGGCCAAACATTATTTTAACTTAGTTTTACAACTTTAATATACTCTCTAGATAAATATATGTGGCCATTTTTAAAACCTCTCTATGCACTTGTTATGAACTCACAATACAACAATGTACAATATGATGCCCTGCTTGTAAGGTCCTTTACTTGATTCACTGTTAACACTACGGATTGTTACCTTCAATGCTCAAGTAACTTGAGCATGGCACTTGGGAAATTTCGGCTTGCAGAACTTTCCCTGTTTGAATATAGGTTCCTTGCGCAAGTACCCCCTCAATGATAAGAAAGGGAGAGTTGGGGGAGACCACTGGGTGTGGCACTGAAATGCATTGCCAACAACGCCTTGGATTTGTGCACATTCAGAAAGGACCTCAACTTGTGTGTACTCCACACTTTACGCGCACAAACCTGTACGCATACCAAGTGTGTCTTGTCTGCGGGCCCTCAAAAGTGGTCAAAATGTACCCTTTCTTGTTGCACATGGAGCCCATAACGAGACTGGAGCACCACTATTATGCAATAATAAACTTAATTTCTGGTCCATCTAGTAGGGTTGTTGACTTTTCAATTGACTTGGAACTCAATGACTTATGATGACCAGTGAAGACTTGATTACAAATCTGGCATATTTTATGCCGTGTTCATAACACTATAATGTCATTCAGTATTTTTAAGTACATGTAGTCAAGTCCATCACAAGTCCACTCACAAGTAAGACCAGTAACAGGGGATGAATAACAAATAACTGTTTTCATCATAGTTCACTGACCAGCTTGTGACTTGACTTAGGACCAGATGAATAGTATTGGATCGAGATGGACTTGTGAGGACACTTGAGGACTTGTGATGGACTGGACTACAACGATGATGCGACTGCCAAAAGACAGCAGACTATTAGTAAAGTTAACCGTACCTCCATCTTAATTGTTTTCCAAAGAAATTTACTCAATTTATTCAAAACAAAACAAGCTCTATCCAGCATGGATTCATTCCCTCTTGCTGCGACAACCTGTCTATCTGTCCAGTGAGTTCTTCTCTTTCTCCATCAGCTGTAGTTCCCGTTCCCTCTCCTGGTTCTTCTTCAGGATCTGGTTGATGCAGTACTCTGACTCCTGCCCCACCTCAGTCAGCCGTAAGTCTAGCTCCTGGATGGTCTTGTTCTCCTCCATGCCCTCCTGTATTTGCTTGCCTCCATCCTGCGGGACAAAGCAAAACCTGTCTGGTTAGTCTAGGAATTTGCTACGATCTCATATGTGAGAGAATATGGCACTATGGACTCCATACGAAAGCACCCTTAATGGTGAAAATGACAGGGTGCTGATATATTGAAGGACACTTTAACATCATTGCTGGCATGCTTTGAAATAGAGTCTGATTCCAACCGTCAGTCACAATTTCTGTTCAGACTCAAAATTTCAATATAAAGGTTTTGAAATTGGTTCTATTTGAATGTGGCAAAGGCGTTTTGGTCAGCAATTTAAAAAGTGATGCCTCAAATTTGCTATGAATTGAAAAATGTTGTGCCCGAGCTGCTTATGTCTAATGGTTTACAACACTTGTGTAACGAATGACAGGAGTGTAAAAAATCCAAAGACACCCAGACATCACTCTAAAGCCCGGTTCATACTTCACGCGAACACGACTGCAAAGCTAATTTGACGTGATGAAACGTTCGCTGCGAAATTTGCCTGATTAAAATATGTTCAACTTTTACAAATTTGCAGCACGAGTACTCCCCCGAAGTCACAAATTCGCATTTGCTTTCGCGCTGAGTATGAACCGGGCTTAAAACCATTATTTAGTTCATAGATGCTAAAGCCAATGTGCAGCTTTAAAGACACGTTCATATATACTTGGGACAGATTTACCTTCTCCTAGTGATCAAGATCCCGTCATGTGGGTGGTTTTTAATAAGGGAATAAATGTGTGCTTAGGAGGCGAGGGCAATTATCAGCACCCAGACTCCAAGCCGACAATAATGGCCCTCGCCTTTGGCTCAGGCACTCATTGGCCACCTGGACCGCAACTGGTTTTAAGCAAATGCTCCATCACACTATTACCGCTTTAATAACGATGTGATTGATGCACTTACTGGGCCGAGTCTGTTACAAGACAAGTTGACTCTCCTGAGCGTGATGTTGTTGATGACGACCTGGGCCATGATAGCCGCCGTGGGTTCTGTCAGCTCGTTACTGCCCACGTTCAGTTCCTCCAGGGTGCTGTTCTTGATCAGGGCACGGCACAGAGCTTGACCACCTGTTGGAGTAATTTGTTTAAAAGGAAAGGATTACAGAGCTGCAAGGCCAGAGGTGAACCTACTGGACTACATTGTAAATACAGAAAGAATGTCTACAGTTTTTTTTCTTTAATGTAGTCGATGCAAATCATTTTAAGCTGCTTTTCTTTTTTTACTTTTGTTTTTCGCCACACATTTCACAAGGCCTTGTTTTAATTTCACTCCACTCTGGACAAACCGTCTCACTTTATGATTCAATATTCTGATTCAATATCTGAGGGAACCTTGTGGATAAATAACTCTTCAAACTAAAAATAGGAGCCATCCTCAATTTAGCCAAATATGAACTTGACATGGGAAATGCAGGTATCATGGTTGTAAAGGGTGCCATTTACATGCACCAGATTACACCTCTTCCTGTTTGCTATTAAATAGAAGTCTAAAGTACAGTAAACTCCGGCTAAACCGACATCGTACAACTCATCAAATCGTTCAAGTCGGCCGTCTGACTAAAGTCCCGATTGTCCGTAATGCATTTCCATTGGATTTTTTAATTTCTAAGTCGACTTTTATAAGTCGCCATTTCGCTCAAGTCGTCGTGTTTCTCTTGGTCCCCTTTCCATAAAAAGCATTACAAAATCCTTTGTGTAAGTCGGCATTCAACAAATCACGCATTGGCATCGACTTCCTGTACTGCGGTTGGCAAAGTGTCGAGTGAAAAGTGGTTTCGCACGGCCCGTGATCGCTGCATGCATCGGTGTCAAAAAAGGGTGTCCTATACTGCATACATCACATATGCATCGTGAGCATATCAATACCAGTACCCCCTCTCGGCTGTGCGCATGTGCTCTGTCCATTTTGGCGGTCGTCTTATTGAATCACTACTGCTGCAGTCAATGCGTGCGTGGTATATACCGGACCACGCATGCATTTAATTCATTACTGTGCACGTACACATATGTATCGTGGTCTCCACTATCAATATCCAAAACATGATGATACAATTCGAGGATTAATTTGCTGAATTCAACTCAAGCATTAAGGAGATAATCCAGGGTAAATCGAAGCCAATTAGTGTAAGTTGGTAAACTGACGACTTACAGCACACATCGGCATTCGCGTAAGCCGTCACAAATTCTCGGGTCTCGAGAGTGCCGACTTAGCCGGAGTTTACTGTAGTTGAAGATTTTAAATGTGCCTTGATTAGTACTTAGACCCTAATTTCAAATTTTATTTTCCTGTTTTGAGAAACAGAAAATTGCCCATAATACCCATAACATTGAGTTAAAGACAAAACATACACCCACCTTCATCCCCCATTCTGTTAAGTCTGATGTTAAGGTATCTGAGCGTTGTATTCTTTGCCAGAGCATGACCAATAGCTGCAGCTCCATTGGCCCTGATGCGATTGTTAGACAAGTCAATCTTCTTCAGCACACAGTGTCCGTTGAGTAGTTTCCCCACGGCACGGGCCCCACTGTCCCCTATCATGTTGTGGGACAGGTCCAGCTCCTGCATGGACGGATGATCCAGGATATGGGCGATCAAGACTCGGACTTTATCGTCGTCCACTTTGCTCCGGTGGAGCTGGAAGATCTTGAGCGAGCGACAAGCCTTCACGCACTTTGAAAGCAGCTGGCAATCGCGGGACGTGAACTGGAACAGGTTCCACTCAAAGTTCATGCCGCAGTCCTGCACGCCGTAGGTGATGCGGAGTTCCTGAAGGTGGGGGAGCTTCTGGGTGACCAGGCTGAACTCAAAATGGTCCATGCTAGGTCCGTCCAACCCAGCGTCGCTGCCCGCGTCCGAGACATCGTCAATCTGTTTGGTGAGCTCCTCTTTAACTGGCGGCAGCAACTGCTTGATGTTCAGCCGCTTGATGTAAGGGCTCGCCAGCGGCAGGGTTGCATTAAGCTCGGTTAGGTCAGTGGTCTCGGGGACAAAGTGCTCGACGATGTGCTCCAGGTGACGCTCAAAGAACATTCTCTTCCAGCTGCCGTCGTACTTGGAGACGTCGCAGACCTGCCAGCGGGACTTGCAGCAACGTTCCCAGTAGCCTTCATCGGACACCAGATGAGCAACCACCTTCAGAGGAAGGTCAGTGGAGATCTTCTCTAAGACCTTGGCCTTATACTTAGGTAGCAGTTCATCTAGTTTGGGATGATCTGTGAAATAAAAACAAGTCAGGTGTGTTTACAAACACAAATGCCCCGCAACCGTGACTGTTTCCATGACATAACACCACTCTAACATCAACTTACATGTACATGTACCTTGGTCAAATGGAACGTTCATTGACAGCATTAGTGTCTTCTGTAGGTTTAATATGAATTAATCCCTAATACCTATGATCTCAGAATAAATACAAGATTTCTATTGTTTTAGCTACTGTGACCTTGACCCTTGACCTTTCGGCCCCAAATGCAAAAGGCTTCTTAGAATTGCCAAGGACAATCCACAAACCAAATTTGAAGTTCATATGTAAAGTATTTCTCAAGTTATCGCGCTGGCAAAATTTCTATTGTTTCAGCCACTGTGACCTTGACCCTTGACCTTTCGGCCCCAAATGCAAAAGGCTTCTTAGGATTACCAAGGACAATCCACAAACCAAATTTGAAGTTCATATGTTAAGTATTTCTCAAGTTATCGCGCTGACAAGATTTGTCCGGACACACACACCCACCCACAAACCCATCCACACACCCACCCACCCACCCACGGAAGGACAAGGCGGAAACAGTATGCCCCTTCGGCTTCGCCGCGGGGCATAAAAAAAGGGGAACAATGTAGTAAAATAGCACTTTAATAGTATACGTGTACAAGAGATAAATCATAGCCAGAGACAGGAATTTGTTTTCTTTTGGACAGTAACCTCATTCCGTTTGTCATTCACTTGAATGGCATTACTGGGTACAAGGAAACAATATGGACACCTTAGTTTCAATCAAATCTGTGGGTGCCTTGTTTTCCATTTCTGGATTAAATCATGAATGGCAAAACATAAAAATAACAAAAAACACTGTTGATGGCTGCAACTGGTGAATACTGTTGCAATAATATGCACTGTAAATGAAAACAAATTGTGTTTAGCACAAACAGGAACAGAGTAGAGAATACTTAATACATGTACATGTACTCTTCTTTGCAATCCACTCCGAGAACATGTTTCTCAATTTGTTGGGCTTGTCACAATAACAACAACAGATTTTTCGATTAGATTTGAAGCACCACAGAAGCATTCGGTTAACAGTACCTGCAAAATTGTTGACCACATGACTCACGCACAGCTCCGTCAGCAGTGGCACGGTGGCCAACGACCAATCAGGATCCTCGGCGATGATGCGCCTCATGTTGCGATTATCGGCAGCTGGGTTGCTCCTGGCACTCGTTATCGGTGAGGGCAGCGACTTGCGACCCCCACTCCGCACTCCCGCCCTGATGGGCTGCTTGTCCCCTCCCGGCTTGGCGTTGTTGTTCATGTTTACGTCCTCCTTCCCTCCGCTGTGGACACTCCCTTGGTCGGTGATCGGTGGTTCTGTTGTCATTGTAACTTGATGTAGGGTGTTCTGCACAATTTTCCGAGTGTGCAGATTTTTTTAAAACTTGTCCAAACTTGAGCTTACTGCAAAAACTGTGGGTGACAAGAATGCATCACAATGCTACATTAAAATAAAAGGTATTAATGACATGCCATGTGCGCAAGATGCAGCATTAATCAACAGAAATAGAATTGAAAGAAGTCTGATTTAGGTTGGAATCACTAGTCTTGGACTTGTCTAATTTGATCGAAACTAGAGAGGGGCCCGTACTACACAATCTCCAGTTTGTGCTTAAAAAAGCAAGTGGTCAAAAATACCCCGTCTAATAATTGGGAACCGCTTCATGTTCAAATAGTGCTGCCCCGATGGCACTGACAATAAGTGACATAAATAAATAGGATGAAAGTTTTGAAACAACTCTAAGTAATTAGGTTGGCAGGCCTATTTTATTTATCGAAGTGGCTATCGTTACGGCAGCCTTTGTTTAGCGCCCTCTACGATACTTTTTTGATACGCACGCAGGTATATAATTATTTGTTTCCCCACGGTTTAGCGAGCAGTGCGACAGCTCAGTCGATAGAGGGTAGGATTTTGCACCGCGAGGTTGCGGGTTCGCATCTCAGTTTTGCACTCAAATTTTTTTCCTTTTCTAACCTGAGGCTTTGGAGGATTTTTTTTAAAAGGGAAATAAAGTCTGAATTCCATAACGTTCAAATTCACTTTTTTCCTTCTAGTTTTAATTTTATATTTTCTTCTCATGTTTTTATAAAAGTTGCAGTCTACCGTAACGATAGAAAATGGGAAATGCGTTACGGCTGCCGTAACGATAGCCACTGCGTTTTATTTATCCTCGACCCTCCATAATCTGCGCAGGTAAACTCAGGTAAACGCTTGCAATTGTCACACACAAATTGAATGCGAGTGCGTAGAAATGGAAAATCCGTAGAAATACGACCGCGTAGCTTTCCAATGAAGAAAATAAATTACAAAACTATGTAAACTAGTGGGAAATATAGCAAGATCGCTTACCCTCAAAGTTGCTAAACAGTGGTCAAAGTGTGATTAAATAATTGAAGACTTCAGGTATTGTCAGAAACTGCAGTTTACACACACATATCGCGATCGGTGCGTGACATTTCATGCGTACACGTACCGTCGAACTTGTTTGGTTGCCACAGACAACGCGGTACGAGAGTAAATAGCCCCCTCTACAGCTAGCGGGAAATGTGAATGCATGTCCCACGGCCGTGTACAATATTATACAGTACATATTCGGTTCCTCCGAGTGTGTATGCCTACTCATGGTGCACAAGGGCGGATCCAGGGGGGGGGGGGGGGGGGGGGGGCCAAAGGGGGTTATGGCCCCCCCCCAAAACGAAACCATTTTTTTTTTTTTTTATGTAACATCGCAATAAAGGCAGGCAATGAGTACACCACCATCTTTTCCTCAAAAAAACATTGGTCAAAGTGGTCAGAAATTGCCTCAGATCGCACCACAGAGCATCTAGAATCCAAAAATTTTTCGGGGCCCTTAAGCGGGCCCCGAACCCCATGCCGTAATTTTTTGACCCACTTTTTGGGGGGACCAAATTTTTTTTTGGCCCCCCCCCTAAAATTGTGTTCTGGATCCGCCCTTGATGGTGCACGGTGTAATCTGCAACAATTATTGCTTTTTTGAGACGTTTTAATTTTTATCGTGCATGTAGGTTTAATTCGATTACATTCTACAGTTGTAGAAAAAAACAACACGCATTTCCCATTCAGAATCATTTGTATCAGCTGCAGTAGTAACAAGTGCTCCCCCCGGCCCCAACAATAACATGTTAACATAAATAAAAAATGTAAATTAAAAAAAATAAATTTCCTTCATCCTGAAGTCGTCTTGACATGCAGTGCATAATAAGCAAAGCTTTTCAGTCAGCTATAGTACTCATCAATGCGATCAAGCTAAATGCGTCGTTCGTCGACCCTGGTCGTTTTTTTTTACAGACTTGAAAAGTGCACACTGCAAAAACTGCAGTGTTAAATTTACACTGTTGGTATCTATATAGGACCATCTGGTGTTAAATGTTACTGGTGTTGTCCTATATAGATACCGAATGGTGTTAAATGAACACTACAGTTTTTGCAGTGCACAATCTCAGCATTACTGCTGTGAAAACCGCATGCTGGTACCATCTTTAGTTCAAAAATTATGGAAGTCGAACACCAAGCAAGAAATGTGATGAAGTGATGTGATGAAGTGGCCCCATTTTGGCCTGAATCTATATCTCCAAATGAAAATTCCCGACAAATTTAACGACGTATTAAGCTTGATCCCATCACATTATATTCACTCAATTATTTTAATTAATAACTAATGAAACTTCATTAGATAAGAAATGTAATGACCAATCAGAGGAAGGGAAGTCCAATCTCAGGGCCGACACCGCACTGGGGGGGGGGGGGGGGGGGGATAATCGCCCCGCCCATTACAATATTTCAACAGCCTGACGGATTTTCCCATTGATTTTGAAGCCACGTATAAGAACATTTTTTGCAATAAGTCGGAACAAAAACTTACTCAAACTGAAGACAGGACTGGTATATCAATATCCTGTGAAACTATTCATGGGCATCGCGGGGGTGGGGTGGGGGGGGGGGCAAGGAGACGAGGGGCGAAGTCATATTGCTGTTAATTTAATACACTCTTAACAACATGGCCGTCCGCAGGAAGTGTCAATGGGCTGCAGTACAGTGGGCGAATTCCCCCCCTCCCCCCAGCCAACCGTCGAAAAATGTATAAATTGAGAATAAAATTATGCCAGAGAACATCTTGGGAAAAATGATGTGCTTTGCCGCCCTCTAGAAAAAAAAATATCCTGGCGACGCCCATGAAACAATTCCGCCTAACATGGTATCGTAAGTTGAAAGAAAACGCATACGATGTGGCTACAAAATGGGTGCCCGCAGACACACATTTTTATGCGAGTTAGCAACGGAATACAGTTAGGAGACCCCCCTCCAAAAAAGATACGAACACGTTCACTCTGGTTTCACCAAGCTGAAATTTCAACAGGTTAGTTGTTATGCACCCAACGGAAGATGGGAGCAATTTGGTTTCCTTCAGACGAAAAACTTTCACTGAAAGTTTCAACTTTCACTGAAAGTTGAATTACGAAGTTTCCTTTATTTTTTTATTTTTTTTTGAAATTAGACTGAGTTAATTAATGAGGAACAAATTAAGACGATGCTATGTCTACTGGAAACAACCAGCAGCCATGCATGTAAGCCTACTTCGGATCATATGGCATCAGTCATGCAGTCAATCAGTACAATTCTCTAACGGTTCCTTCCAGAACAACACTTCTTCATATATCATAGGACAGATAATTTCCAGTGCACGCCCGCGAACTCAGCACCAATTTGTACCATCATACTAAAAAGCTTCAAGTCACATGCAGGATTTTTGGAAAAGGGGGTTTGGATTAATTGGATCTTTTGTGCTCAAGGGTCGCTCACGATACGAGCTGGCTTAACCCTTAAATTTTGAAACTGGGTACATGCATAGAACAACTGTTCATGAACATACCCAAGAAATTTTATGACTTTAGGTCAAAGGGTTTTGAAATTATGGCTAATTAATTATTCATGTGCACGAATGGTAATTCTGCTCTGTATACACTACATATATGGGGAAATTCAGTTTTCACGGCGCCTAGCAACCCGTGGTCCGATTTTGGTATTAAAAGGTGCGCAAGGCTCGAGGCTAAAAAGTCAGAGAAGCTTGCGGGGTCGCGAATTTTTTTCTCAAGGCTATTGCGGAAAAAGTTGAGGGGGGGGGGGACGGATTCCGCCCCGGCCCCTTTAGGGTTAAACGGACTTGTCATTGGTTAAATATTGATTATTTCACTTTGTGTTTAGATACAACTCCACACTTTTGGTCTGAGCCAGGATAACTGTTGGCAGTCGAGCGCAAAATTGAAATGATGAAATGCTGGTGGTGGAATAGTAATAATGATACTGAGTAATATACACCGCGCTCGGCTTTAGCGGTGGCGCGATGTTTAGTCCGTTGTCTCATTTTCTAACACGCTTCATCTTTTTTATGAATAGTTCTAAAACATGTGCTTGTTGGAGCATGCTGCTTCATTAATCCATACTTCACACGTGTGACAGAGAACAATAATGGCAATGTGATGAAATATTTACGACACCACGTCATGAAGTATTGTTCCGTGAACAATGCACTATTGCTACATTTAACACCGGCATGGAAATTAAACAACTGGCGACTGAAATCTGGTGCTGTCAACAATGGTCGATGAATGGCAAATACTGAATATGCTATAAAGGAAACAATTCATTGAGCGAAACTATAAATAATACTATCCCGTGGTCTGTGCAGGCTGGCATCATAATGCCCGACCTTGAATAGAAATACGATTTGTCTATACGTGGGCAGATTGTTTCCGCTCATTAAAACAATATTGTCCTATTAATTATGCCGATTGGCAGTATTGACCTTGGTTTGATAATGGAATTAAAAACTTGTGTCGGTTGATATCCGGTAACCGCTTAGGTGATGTCATGACGGTATGGTATTGCATTTCCCCCCCGACAATTTGCTTGTCTTGAACGTTGTGCATTGAAAAACAACTTGTACCCGGTGGGTGAATTTAGCAAATGCGATAGGACCCCCCCCCCCCCCCCCCCAATACAACATCATACCTAAGGCCTTCGACAAAATGCTTCAAGGCCTAACGGGACAACAGCATCACTGCCGTGCATGGCAAAAGACTAGTAATAAAGCGAGAAGTGAAAAGTGATATTAATCTAATCGAATATGAGGACTGCATCCTGCGAGGTGGCCGCACTAGTGTTGGTTTTATATGACTGTGCGCGGTATCAGCTTGGCCAGCCAAGCAACGCAATATTTTATTGCTTTCATGAAGGCAATAATTATCATTTCTGCATTTATTAACCATGTGTAACCAGTGCTGCTTAAAGATATCGTCAATTGGTCAGTACTGTCGTCATATATAACATGATAAATCTATAGGGTAAATCTGTAATTCTCCTTTTGCCAGACTATGAAGAGTTTAAGGTAATTCCCTACAGATGTTCATGGGGGTCTATAGGCTTGCACAAGTTTGACGAGTCCAGTGTGTTTTGCAATTGAACGTACATGTAAGATTGAGTTCGTATAGATCCAGCGTATAATGAGGGAAGAACCACAGATAACGTATCGGTTAGAGGAATCAAACTGCTCATTTAAGACAGAAATTCATTCGCGTGTTAATTAAACGAAAACGGCAAATGAAGTTTCAAGACACAGTTGAGTAACAGAACGTGAACGCTCATGTATAATTATACTCTACCTTTTAAAGGCATAATAACATCATACAGAGGCGTATCCAGCGTGGGCGGGGAGGCAACTTGCCCCCTCCCCTCGGTGGCATTTTGATGGCGTCATAAAAAAAGAAACAATTAAAGACGGTTTTAAGACGGTTCGGACGTCGATACATGATTGTGCATTCGTTTCCATTAATGACACCACAAGAAAAATGATGAAAACATAACCTGTTGAATTTACAGCTCAGTGGATATAACCTTTTTCGAGAAAACAGTGGGAAAAACATGCACAATCTTTCACAATCACAATACACGATTTCGTCTATATACTCGGTAACACTCTTTATTCCAAAAATCAGTCAACTGACTGATCGTTGGAAATCACGCATACATTTCTTGATTTCTTCCTAAACTGACAGCAAGCCAGACGGAATGATTTCACGGGGGTGTTTAGTACCAGTCCCTTTTTGATAGTAATTCGGTAGGCTATACTTTTAGGATAAATGCAAATGACCCGACATCCCTTTAACGATCTTTTCAACTAAATAAAATTAAGACGGCCTGACGTTGCCATCTTGACAAGATCTCCTTCAGAGGCAAAGTGACAGTGGTACAAGAAAGAAACATGTAAGGAACGTGTTGACCTTTACAACTATTATCGTTTCGTGCATGGTGAACGCGTTTTCGAGTCCCAAAACGGGCGCCATTCTCTCGAAAGTATCCCTTTAACCAAGCGATGTCGCCTAATGATGATTCAGAACGCAAGCCAGAATTTATGAGGCAAACGATATCGACGCATCAGCAGTTCCGGTGACATAATTAAATTTGGGCTCCTTTGAAATCCGGTCCCTTATGACTTATATGCACAGAGGCTAACACACTGTAAAAAAAAAAGTTGGGCAAAATGAGTTGATAATTCGACCAACGCTGGTCGAATTATTAACTGCCTACACTCTTGGGCAAATTCTTCCCAACAGTTTGACGGTTTTTACTCAATTCAACCCAATATGAGGTAATTTCATACCAATGCTGGATAAATTACATTTAGTCAGGGATGTTATAGGGCGTTATAGGGGCCGTTTGGTTCAGTGACAAGATGCTATATGCCGCTGTGTGCGTTTAAATGGAGCTGTTCATTTGTAGAGGACCTTGCATATAGAAACCTAGTGTGATTGCATTTCAACCTTCCTTTGCATGAGGCAGCCGCAGCGCACGAGAATGGCACATGTCACTGAAGCATCATTGAGAGTTGGTCCATAGTGATTGCCATGTACTGGTACCATCTTTGTGCCAGCCCCACACGATGAAGTCAGGAATTTCCTGCTGGACCGAGGTGGCCTGTAGTAGCGGTTGCTTTACATGTTCAAACAGCACGGCAGGTAGCTGGGATGCTTCCGACAAGCTGCTTCCAGTAGTGAAGAAGCGATGTCTGGCCCCTTTGATGATACCTACAGTTGCACCACACCCCTTGCTCTGCATGAAATGGCAAAGCAAGTTGTGTCGCACCATGTTAGGCTTTGGAAGAAGGGTGGTGCCAAGGACTTTGTCAGACCGAGATCGGAGTAGATGCTTTGGAATAGTATGTTGTACTTTTCACCACTTCTGAAGCACACCCAGATCTCCAATAGGCCAAGGATCTCCAAAACAAGCTTGAAATGATCTCGAAAGTGATCGCAGTGACTCGACTCTCAATCCTTCACTGGCTCAGTGGGTCGCATATCAAGTTACTCCGGTGCACCCATAAGATGTGGATGCAGCCTTGTCTAGGTATAGGGCGTAGATCCCGATTTTGGCATGGGGCTTTGCCGACTCGTTTGCTAGCACTGAGTTAATTGTATCCCAACCAGGTGAGGATGTCACCATCTGCAAACTTGTTATGATGTGTCGAAGAAGTCAAGCTTGATGAGCCCGCCTCACTGCAGGGTTCTCATGCGAGAAATGGATATTTACTGTTTGGGCATATTACTGGAAATCACCAAGTGAGAGGTTGCCCTGAGCCTTGGTTATCTGTGATCAACATCTTGGGTGGTGAAGACAATGAAACGACCGTTGGTTGAAAGCTCCACCCATCCTCAGCATGGCGGGCACACACCACACGCGCCTATACATCCTTACAATAACTTAGGACAATTTTCTCGCTCCAATCTAAGATTGTTTCTGTGGTATGCGTAGAAATGTCAAACTGTCCGACATGTGCAGCTAATGGGAACAGGTTTTTTTTATGGAATGACGCACCAGAAACACCAGGTTTGACCGGAATGATCTCGAGTGGTAAACTTGACATCAAATAATTAAAATAACATCAGAATCAGACATTTGGACCCCCCCCCCAAAAAAACACGTTGTATTGTTTTAACTGCGAGTACCTCCAACCTGGGTGGCGGCCATTTTTTTTCAAAAATGGCGGCTCCTAGAGCATCTGCCTTGCCTCTAATCATTAAAATGACATCATATTTAGACTCTGTGACCCCGAAAACCCATAAAAGGTGGTATTATTTAAGATTTTAGCTCGTTATTTTCTTAACTGTGATATATGTGGCGGCCATTTTGGATTTTGCCAATATGGCGGTCCCTTGGGGCATCTGTTTTGCCTCAAATCGTTAAAATAACATCAGATTCAGATTGCTCAACCCCGAAAATACCTGAAAAGTGGTATTATTTATGATTCTAGCTCATTTAGTTCAATTGACCTCTGACACGATTGGCGGCCATATTGGATTTTGCCAATATGGCGGCCCCGTGGGGCGCCCGTCTTGGCGCCCGTCAAAAATCGAAATAGTATGGTATGACTGACATCTGTGCCAAATTTGGTGCTTTTGGAAGAATGTGAACCAAAATATCCCTAAGACCCCCGACTAATTGCCCAACAGTGTTTTATCCAACCTTTTTACAGTGTATATATACTCCTAGTTTTACATGTTATTTACTGAATGTGCGCGATGATGATCAATGAACCTGTATTTCACCGTGTCCTAGTTTCACACTTCATCGGTCTCCCGAGTGCATATCTATGTTCCCCAATACCTATGTGTTTCCCAATACTTATGTCCCCCAACCCTAACCATAACCATAACCATCTAACCCTAACCATAACCCTAGCCCTTACCCTATGGATTTTGGGGAACAAGGCATTGGGGAACATAGGTATTGGGGAACATCGGGTAGACCCCGGTCTCCTGGTGCAACAACGCCTGCGGATCCCTCTTCCATTAAGAGCACATAAAATCATTTGCCTTTTGTGCATTTTATTATTCTTTTGGAGCAACACAATCGCTCGAAATCGAACATAGGATGCATAACAACTAACCTGTTGAAGTTTAAGTTCAGCGGCTACTAAACATTATGAGAAAACAGAAAACAACGCACAACGTTTTGGGTCTCGTAACTGGATTCTGTCACTGACGCACGTATAACGTGTGCCCGCGGGCACATTTCAATTATTGTTTTCTTTCGATCGAAACCATTTCTTGCTGTATATGATATTAACAGGGTCTTTGGGACCAGCTGTATCTTCAATTTGAGCAATTTGTTTTGTCTCATTAATTCAGTATGTGCGTTTCTCGGTGCCAATGTCCCTACTGTCTTTAAATTAGAGGCCAATGCATCTGAGGTTATCCCTCAGAAGATGCAGGTACCCATCAATTTCTCCAAAGCGAAGGAGAGGTCAAGTGCCATGGTCATGACAGTCATGAAGTCAGCACAGATCGGCAGCTGAATTCGCACCACCACCACTGATCGTCTAGAAACGAAGAATACAACATAACCAGGCATTGAGCCATCCATGCTCCCCAGGAAGTCGTGCACGCTCCTGACTCCCAAAACCAAACTGAGTAGTTCCGAAAACCCTCTATTCCCCTCAGCACAATTTCATACAACTACAGGTAGACAAGACCAGCAACAACCCAGTAAAGCTGGTCACATAAAGCGCACACAATTGATATTAAATGGATCTAGAATGGCTAAAATCTTCAGTTGTAGTGGCAACAATAGTGGGCATATTAGGCGTCAATCCTTGGGGGACAGGGCCAGGGGGACATGTGTCCCCCCCCCCCCCACTCAGATCGCACCACAGAGCTTCTTTTTTTTTTTAGAATCCAACATTTTTCGGGGCCCTTAATTAGCGGGCCCCGAACCCCCACGCCTTTAGCTGAGAATAGCTCAGAGTAGCTGATTCAATGACTCCAACATTGTAAACGATGCTCAAATTATTTTCATTTGCTAAGAAAATATCGGTAAAAGTGGTCAAAAATTGCCTCAGATCACACCACAGAGCATCTAGAATCCAACTTTTTGTCCGGGCCCTTAAGCGGGCCCCGAACCCCACGATTGACGCCCATGATAGTGGGTATTTATAACGCGCACGTATCCACCAGGTCTGGTGCTCAAGGCGCTAAATCATTATTACCCCTGCTCATTGGGCCCACGCAACATTCCTAATACCATCTTAGCTCACTGGGGAGTAAACAGCTCGATGCTGCCACTTCGACGCAAAGAGGACAGAAGGCTGTCCCCTCTGGAACCAACAAAAACCAGATGGTATCAGCCATGACCAATACGCATCATTGCGATTGCGATATGGCTTCTGGCTGGTAACCTGCAGTGTTTTGCTTATTATGCAATACATGTACATGTACGTGTGCATTAATAGTCCATTGACTCGCATCATAATGAAGGGTGGTGCACTTTTATTTTAATGCATGGAAAACGGGATAAACCGATTCTCGTTCCAAACAAGTCCAGTCGTATAAAGAGCCTTTAGGTCGGTTTCTAAAATAATTTGTAACGGCAAATGAAGAAAATACTCGTTACTCAGACCATTAAACAGACCTTGTCTGTTGCATTTATTGAATAATGACTCAAACATGACCGAGTTTTAATGAATTGTTCATGATATAAACACGTTACCATTTTAGGTTATAAAAGTATTCAGGCCTACATGCTACATGCTAATTACCTGTAAGTATATTGACATTGGAAACAAGCGACTGAGATGTTCACAGCTTATTTTCGCCAAATTGAATAAATAAATAAATCAAATTTAAACAATACTTGATAAATATCAACCTGCATCTATTTATAGTAAAGGCAAAACCCAATGAGTAGCAGACATCAGTCCTGAATTTAAGCAAAATGACCTCATTGGACTGAAATTGTGATGCGATGAAGCTAAATGAGTCGTCTGTCGACCCTGATCAATTAATTTTTTTTTTTTTTTACAGATTTGAAAAGAGCACAATCTCAGCATTACTGATGTAAAACCGCATGCTGATACCGTCTTAAGTTCACAAATTTTGGAAGTCGGAACACCAAGAGATGTGACGAAGTGATGTGATGAAGTGGCCCAATTTTGGTCTATATCTCTAAATGAAAGTTCCCAAAAAACGACTCACTTAGCTTGATCGCATCACAATTATGGCTATGAAGATATCTAGAATAAGGCATTGAACACTTCAAACTAAACAGATCATTCCATAAGATTTTTCAAGACTTTTATATCGTTTGCTGGTTAAACACTTATATCGATTGATCCATCGACAAACATGTTTAAAAAAGCAATAACCTAAGAAGTAAAAGTAGTTTAAAAACATTATGGAAACGTTATTACCTTTTTTTTTAAATTCAGAAGCAAATACGGAGTCCTCTAAATGCTCGAAGCCAAAACGTATTTTTTTATTTGCATTTCTTTAAAATGATATAAGTACTAATTTGCATACATGTAGGATATACTTTATTAGCAATGTGTAATTCACATTAATGGTTTTATCAATAAGTCACATTCTTAGATTTATTTAAGAATAACCGTTAGATCCATGACGCTCTTTACTGATTAATTTGCAAGTTCGAGATTAAAAAGTAACACACTTACAATGCAAAAACTAGTGTATTAGGCTACACATTGTATGGGAACGATGGGCACAACTGGCAACCGTAAAACGAGAGGAAAAATAAAAAAGTATGACCTCATAATTGGACGCCCACATTCAGCCTCTACGTAGATCTCTTTTGTTTGTGACTATGGCAACTATGCTTCCATCAAGGCATGTACACCTGGTGCTGTGCCATTACTGTACTGCGCAGCTTTTCTGGTCTCGGTGATTAATGCAAAAGTCAATTATGACAACTTTTATTAAATCACTTCCATTGCCAACTCAAAGGCATTTAGATAACTTGCAGTTTGCATAGTAAACCCCCCATCGCTTCCTCGTAGAGGTATACCAAGCTCATGTTCCATAGGTCGACAATCGTAAGCAATTTTGGATAATACGTCGGAGGGCCACAACATATTATATCAATGATATTTTTTACACAAGTTGTTGGTATGATAGTTGGACAGATATTAAGCAGAATATTCTCATACAGATTGCGTCTATGCGGTCCAAATATTATTCCGGTGTTATTTCACAGTCGCAGTAAATATAAACCTTAGAAAAAAGTCGAATATTCTTCAAAGCCCACATGAGTATTAGTTCATATATAATAATATAAATCGATAAATAAATATTCTATGAACACTAAAACTAAAAATAATAATAATAATAATACTAAGTATTACAATGTATAGTATTCCTTTGCATCAGAAATGCCCCATGATGGAAGCTATTTTGATCGAGATGAGAACGAAAGACAAAGTAGCATCTTGTAATAATCAAAAAGAGTCGTTAGATAGTCAGCTAGCTTTTTAATATGTAGAACAAAATATGAAATGGTTGAGGCTGTTCCGTACATCGTGTAGTCGTGCAACTTGCACAACATAATCATCTCCGTCACAAATATGGAAATAATATACATATATCCTAGAATAACCACTGACGTTAATGTTGCACTTTGGCAGCTGCAAGGCTTAAAATATATATTTCGAAAGAGGCCGGATCCTGTTGAAAGCAATGTATTTAACATTCTCCGTTGAAAATGTTGAAAGATATAATATTCTGTCGTTACAAAACGCATGCTTTTTAAAAACAATTATTATCATAAAAGCCGGAACACCTGCACCGATTCAATTGCATATTTATGTACAAGTATTACGTTGCAGACGGAATATTGTGTATATTATTTTTTAAGGACAAGCATAATAATGCGTTTAAGACCAGGCATCACTATGTAAACCTTACTACTTAGTTTCCCTGCACAGTTGAATTATCATTGTTAGTTTGTACATGTAGATACAGATGGAAGAGGATAAAATATCAGATATTAGAAAAAAATTAGCTGGTAGCAACTGTAGTTTCTCCTCTTTTTAAGAGGCACTGAATTCTCAAAACCTTAAATTACAAAATTACTGTTCAGTCAGATTTACATTTAATTGATTTGTGAATGAATTAGTGACATTAAGAAAACTTATACTGAATGAGAGTCACATTAATCATCCGCAAATGTTCCATGTGCAGCTTCATTGGTGTTTTTTTCTACATCGGTAACTGCCTTTGACTAGATTTTTTTTACGTAGGCGATACGCTGATCTGGAGGCCACGGTGGGGGAGTAAGAATACATGTGTCCATGGGCAAGCCATGTTGCTTCAATATACTCCTCTCCCTCTCTCCGATTTCTCGCCACGCCTTCCAAATGAAGCTATAAAGCGTAAGTCTCTAGCAGTTGTGGCTCTATCGCAAGATGCAGATCAAATAATTATATGAACTATCGGGCCCGCGGAAGACCTTGTGCTGATCATTATTCTTTCTTTTATTATACTTTCAAATAAAAGTGTACATTTTCAGAATCAATTGTCTTTTCTTCAGTCAATTTAGAAGGCATTATATTGTGGCAATATATACATCTTGTTAAGTGCCACATTGGTCAATAAAATTCGTTCACTCAGGTTCAATTTACATTCAAGACTAGAAAAGGCTGGGAGCGACAATAGCCCCTCGTCAACTTGCTGTCTAAGCGTTGTACTGTGTCTACTGTAAGGGCCTGCAAAGTTGTTGTGTTCCCCAGTATCTGTCCCCCACACTATCTTTCCACCGAAATATCAGTAGTATTGTAAGTAGAATGTAATCCATCCTCCTCCAACGCAACCAAAACCAAAACAGTTTTACCCTGAAAGCAATCCCAAAGTGTCTGCATCAAGAGTTGCTATCGGATTGTTGCTATAACGACCATTTTGAATCTCAACCTTGCTCCTCGCTTCCCTGGGTAGGCCCTGTACTTTACCACCGATAGCCCAGAACCTCCTTCGGGCGTTCCTCGGGGTCTCGAGTCTGGACGACTCCGCTCATTACTTTGTTGCCGTTCTGTATCTGGCCAGAGCTCCAAAGATTTTCTTCTTTACCAACCGTTTGTTGGGACCGAAGGGTCGTGGCTATTTTCCTCTGGCTGCAAAACTGAACAACTGACTAGGCCCTAACTAGCTGAATGACTGACTCGCTAAGTCATTGAGTATCAATACTGTCCTAGCTGTACGGAGCCTTTCGGGTCCAGCTCGAGTAAAGGCAAGACTATTCTTGTTTGTTTTTTAGTGAATACACCTTCCATTAAATTGCATTTTGAAATAAGTTATTATCTTTGGGACTCCCCCATTTTTCGTTACGAAAAACTTGGGAAGACGCTGCTCGCAATGACTTGTACTTTTGTTTTTAGTAGTTGCTGCCAAACTGAATAATAACAATGTGGATTCTCTTGTCCACGGCACATCAAGATGACATCATTTGGGTTGGTCAGCGTTGATACTGTTGTACGTGGAGAAGCTGCTTGGAACGTTCGTTATATCCGTTTTCTCCGAGCCTGCGTCATCCATCTCGACGGAGTCCGTTTCCTCGGGCGAGGATTGGGGGACCATGCTGGCGAAGATGCCGCCCATGATCTGTGGGATCTTGACCACTGTGTCGCACAGGAGTAGCAAGGAACCCACGGCGAGTAGAAGATAAGCTACATGACGAGAGAAACACGAAGTAAAATTGTTATATAAGACATCGGAATATACATAAGGCCATTGGGGGTACCGGGAACAAACAGCAACAACATGGGATCCCGCATGCATGCTGGTCTTTCGAAATTTCTAAAGTAATGTTTCAGTCTTGACTCAAATATAGTTTCACAGCAATTAGCATTACATGCCTGGACCTGATGGACAGCTGTAAAAAAAAAAACACCATACTTCTGATAGTAAGGACCAATTTCAATAATATTTTTTTCCAGATGAATGGAGGACGTTTAATAATCATTAATACTTTTAATAATCATTAGTATTTCATTAATCCCGGTCCCTTTCTTTTTGACTTTTATTTATTTACTTATTTATTTATTTATATATTTCTTCTTAAACTGGGTGGCCCATTCTCACTGTAAAGCCCTTCATTTTTCCTGCGTTGCCGATAGTAGTGTTAACAGGACATTTCCACTTCAATTCGCATTCAAAATAAGCCGATAATAAACAAAGGATGATAATAATTTATGCGCATCAGTGTAAGATGAAACCACATTGATTCTACATATACAACAGTTGAACCAAACTATGACTCTCAAATAATATTTGAGAGTCATATTATACGCACGCGAGGAATTCATGTTGAAAGTGATATCTAAGAATATGGGCCTTGTAGCGCACACTAATGATAAAGGGTGATATCTGTTGGACTAATTACTGCGTATTGCCTCTTGCGGTAATGACGGTCACAGATGTTTTGGTGCATGCAGTGTCATAATGTGTGTAGCGTACCGTCACTCGACATGGTTCACGGTTTGAAAATACAGGCGATATAGTTTTCATGATGATAAATTAGCCCATCATTGTGTACAGGAAAAAAACGCGAATATTTCATTACCTAGACATTTTTTGACATGTGAGATCAGTAGCTCTTTAATTATGTAGGGGGAAATGAACGAGTATCCAAACTTATATGAGACCACCTTGGCATTGCAAAACGGTTTTTGTTTTTAAATTTGAATACTTTCTTTATGTCCTTGTCCTTATCCCATTTATTTTTTAGAATGACGGCATGCAAAATGGAATAACTTTGCATACTTTTTTGTCACATTATAATTGTTTAAATGTGCAGGTATTTGGAAACTAATTGGGTCGATTAATAATTTTTCGGATTATGACTAAAATATTGTCGCTTCAACTGCGTACATTCGAGAAGTGAATGCAAAACTGATAATATTTTGACATCATGGGCACACGAACCATTATCGTAATCGACTACCAGCAGATTATTACGGAAATCGTTTTCGCCGGTTTACTTTTCAGTAATTGTTCAATTTAACGCACAGGAAGTAATTTCGTATATCAACATAAATTCTGTGCTGGCCTATGTAGGCTATACAAAACAATTCTCTTAATTCTTTCTGATGAAATTCGGGGGAAGGGGGAGTAATTGAAAGCCAAGTAGTATTTAGTATTATTTTGGGTCTCTAATTGAATTTTTTTCTAACCATCCTTTTTCGGTTTAATGCTAACATAATTGTAAAAATTACTGAGTTTTGTTTTGTATTGAGATTGCGTTAATTTGCCTCATATAACGGGATCTTAGATACAATTATACAGGAAGGTGTCGAACACAAAATCATGCATTTTGTTTTTATCTCTCACTATGTTCCGTCAAATTTGCAATTGATGGAATACATGCAAATGCACAATCACCTTTTATCTCAAACTATTATGGTATTCGGACATTTTTTTTTTTAAAAGCGATCTTGTTTTTGAATTATTTTTTAGGCCACACGTGGTAGGCTATGTCACTTCATGAAACATTTCCAAGTCATAGTGCATTGTTACCAACAGAAATAAAAAACCACATCAATTTAAATATTGCAAGTGCGTGGTTTTGAAATCATGCAAAAGAAATACCCGCATAAAGATATCGCATCTGGTTATAAATTTCAATACATTATGTTACTGCTGAAAGCTGGCGTAGGCCTATATTTATGTTATGGTGATTGGTATAGCAGAAACCGTGGGTGGAGCGAAAGTTATGATCATTTTACGGCGAATTCTGTTTGACATTTGGGTGTAACAAGAAAAGCGTATAGACACTGACGTGTTTGTGTTTTGTAAGATACAAGACTTGGTTGCGTAACTTTGGTCAAATGTGCAGGGCACATTTTTGAGTCTCCTTTCCTGCAGTGGAACGAGGGTTAGCTATTGATTTCCAAACAATACCAGCATTTGTTTTAGCTGCGGGTATATATAGCAGCCCAACAAATCATCATGTCTCTCCATTAGTCCGCACGTATTGTTAGTTAGTTAGTAACAAACGTTGACACTGTCTATTGCTCCTACATATGTTGACCGATTTCAACCAAACTTTGTGTAAGGTATATCAGCAGCCCAGTCCCAACATGTCACATGACCAAACTGGGGTCAAATGTCATCATGGGGTCGAGGTCAAAATAACGTCTAATTTCAAATAAGCTAAAATGACAAAAGTAGCGCTGTCAACATGTTGGCCTTGGTCAAACATTAACAAATGTCCATGGTGACCTCTTCGTCTGACCTACACTTAAGGGGTTAAATGTCAAAATAAGGTGAACACAAATTAGTTGGCCCGCAGCTTCCGAGATCCGATCAAGCTTGTTTCAAATAATGAGCAGGAGCCTAAACGGGACACGGGCCTCGTGCCCCAACCACCGCTTGTAGGCCTACCACCAGTTGTGGAACTGATATTGACGTTTTTCTGTTCTATGGCGTTTTCATTGGGTTTGATAGCTGAAACCGGTCCAAAGCCGTGTTAGTCTCCCGGGGGCGAACTCGGACATGCGAGGGTAGCGAGTGCCAACGAGTGTATTTGCCGTCGGGGGGGGGGGGGGTAGAGAGTACTCACAAGCGTTGCTCTCACAAGATGCGAGCGACTGCGAGTAGCCCTTGCGAGTTGTACGTATCATAGTACCGCGCGCCGCAAGCTGGGATGGTGGAAAAATTTTTATCCTCCGGATGCTGAAACTGAACTCCCCGGCCTTGCGGAGAGCGCGAGTTGCGCTCTCACACAAGCAAGTGACCTCGCGAGTTCCCTGCGAGTTCCTTGGGAGTACTTGCGGAACTCGCCCAGTTTTGAACATGTCTAAAACCAGGCGAGCAACTGCGAGAGTCCCCGTCAGCTGCGAGTATCCGCCATTGTTGCGAGTATTCCCTCTCCCACGAGGCGAGTTTCTGACATTTGCACCCATGCACTTGCCGGCACTCGCTACCACTCCCCGGTCCACACTCGCCTCGAGGGACTCGAGACTACAGTTACCGCGAGAGATTGGTTGTAACGAGTCACTGATTTTTGTAACTCGAGTCGAGTCGAGTCATTTTAAAGAAGTGACTCGAGTCGAGTCGAGTCATTAGGTCAAGAAGGTCGAGTCGAGTCGAGTCGAGTCGAGTCACAGTGTGTAGTCGAGTCGAGTCAAGTACTTAGCTCGAGTCAATTCGAGTCACAAATATTTGAACACTATACAATAAATAAACACAAGAGAGAAAGTCATTTTTGGGGGCTTTTTAAATTTTACATTCGGGCTACTACATGTGGTGACACCACATTTGACTCTTGATAAAACGAAAAGAAAAGAAAAATTCAAGATGTGTCTTGTAATGGAACCAATATATCAGCAGATAATGAAACAGTTTTCAACCTTTGACATATTTTCCATATATTTTATTGGTGGATATACATTTGTTTTACTTCTGACTTGTCACGATCAGTATTGTCACTATCAGATGACACGGGTCATCATTGCTATGCAACACGTGGCATGTATCACTTCAAATTTAGAGCATCACGGTTAATGCCTTTGTTATTAATTCTGCTTTCATAACACTATTGAGATTTGGCTTTTCGTTTTGGGGTTTTAGACGATTAAAACGAATAAACAAATATTGACCCGTAGACCAGTCGGAATGTATTGTCACATATTAGTTTTGCTGCATCATGAACTAGCACGGTGTTCAATAAGCCTCTGTACTAATGACGTCACACTTTGTTTACACGTGCACTTTCCTATGGAGCCAGTGGGGGCCCACGGTCCACCTAGCACCATAGAAAAGCACACACGTAAACAAACTGTGACGTCATTAGTACAAAGGCTTATTGATTGCTCCATTTCACACGTGGGTGCCTTCATGCTTTATTATATTTATCTCGTAGACCTAAATTTGAGATTGTTGTGAACTACAAACTACATGAATTACCCCATGGAATGACCGGAAATATATCAATTGAATAATTTCCCCGACGTGAGATTGTTTGTCACATATCACTGATGTGCAAGGCAGTGTATGACGTCAACAGAATGCGGAACGAATGGTGTGACGTCATTAGTGGCTTGAGGCTGGGGCGACCTTGTCAAGGGACTTGTATGAGAGCCCCGAACCAGAGACTCCGGTGTCGTATGAAATTTCGACACCCACGAAATTACGTCGATCCCAAATATTGGCCCTCGGCCTCACATGTAAAAAATTCAAATAGTTGTTTAAAATATCTGGTATGACTTAAACAACGAGTAAAACATCATGCATGCACAAATATACCGCAGCCTCAGATTCTAGCAACTTGATGTTGAATAACCACAGCACCAAAACAGACAACAAAATAACTACAATACCAACGACTTTACATGACAAAACTCTTCAGTTGATAAATGGTTAAACACGCTTAGAAATGGTGATACAAAGACTACCAATGAAAAGAAATCGTACACAATGGTGCAACAGACTAAGACATATTTCTATTTTTAAAATTTCCATTGCATGCAACCTTGCTCTAACTCCCTAGGGGTGTGCAAAATCATATCAAAATTGGAGGATTCAGGACTGTTAGGGCTATACAACGAACTAACCTGTTGTGCATAGGTGGTACAGACCCCGGTAATCTTGGTACACGCTGTTGTACGGTTCGCTTCCCGGCACGTAGTCTCCCAGACCTATCGTCGAGATGGAGATAAAGACAAAATACAGACTCTCCAGGTAGTTCCACGAGTTCTCCAGGGCGTCAAAGATGGCGGCCGGGATCAGGAAGAACAAAGTGAAGACGATGAGTGCGATGATAGTCAGATGGAGGATGTGGATGCCCAGGTTGCTGAACTTGTCTTCTGTGAAGCAGAATGGAAGATGGGAAAGGGACATTGAAGCCCAACGAGAACAATACAGACTCGTGGCAACGATGACTTTTAAGTTCAAACTTGTGAGAAAAAGTACGGAGACTGGCATACATGCAACTTAGTCGGGGTTCACTGGTTGATGATTTCCCTTACCAGGTTATAGCAAAAATTATTAAGCGGCAAGAGAGTGTTACACAAAACAAGTGAAAACCTCTACCAAAAACAGTCGTTCCCACCACATTATACCATGATTTAAAACTTTTACCAAAAACGAGACACTCAGACACACAATCAAAGCGTAAATAGTGACATCGCGGACATAATAGACATTATGTTGTAAACATCAGTGAACGAGTATGTAGAGCAAAGCGAAGATGAAACAGCTAACTCATAAAAAGGGCCCGATTTGGGGGTTGATTACATGTATATACTTGCAAGACAAAATTGCCACGGCAGGGTCCAACCCTTAAGGGGCCGTGGACGGCCACGAGGCCTTACCTGTAGGTGTCTGAGCTCTACGTTTGCTTTCTTTGTTTCCTGGACCGATTGTGGGACAAACAAGAAACATTTCAACCATTTAAATTTCGGGATCTTGTCATTTTGATGGGAACCATTGGTATTATGGATCTTCCATACTCTGCTGATAATCCGAATGGAAATGCACAAACAGTGCGGTGAATGCTAAGTGTGGCTTTGCGTCAAAGACTCTGATTCGTATTTTCATACAGTCATCGCATATAGATCAAAAGATTCATAAGAGATGCGTTCAATAAAAGCAAATACTGGTGAAGCTCTTGTGAAACGCATCCTAGTGCTCCGGCTTACTCGATTCCTCTTCCATACATTTTATGAACTTACAGCAACAGCAATAGCAGCTGGAAAATGCATCTTTTCTGTGATCATATCTAAAGTTTTTCTCGTAACAAAGAGCACCGAATGCTATAAAGCATGCATGTTGATGATTTGAGTATTTTTGGGAAAAAAAAGGTGTTTTATTGCACCGAAGTGAAGTGGTCTACCATTGTACACAAAGTGTTTAGCTGTCATATCGTCACATACGTGCAGTTTCCCATTATGTCTAAAGGTAACGAACATTTTGCAAACATTCAAAAATCGAACTTCCAAAAGTATATTATGAATATCCGACTTGATTGTATAAGCAAATGATAGGATCAAGCATTCTGTGACATCACTGTGCTTAGTATGTTGTCATTTTCAAGAAAAGATGAAATACCATCATTTTTTGCGAGGGTTAGGACCAAACCATTTTAGTTTAGTTTAGTTCGCAATCGGTTACATATCCGTGAATGAGAATTACTCTCGCCAAAAAAACTGTGAATCATACAACAGGGGGCGCAAGTCAAAATGTATAAATGAAAATTTTGAAAGGGAGGGCTTTCAAAAGAAACCTTGCTTTGCGTCGAGAAAAATTGGAAAAAAATCATTTTCACAGTTTTCTCAAAAACTATCATATCTACCAAGTTGAAATTTCTTCAGGTTAGTTTTTTAATAATCTTTTTTTTTCAGATTCATTTTATTGTTATTCGTTGCATCGGCAAGGTACATTTCTCTTTTGCAACGATGTCCACTACCAAACTGAAACAGATATACGTGTAGGCATACCAAGTTGATAGGCCAGCATGTAATCACGAACTGAAACGTTTTCGTGTGATGATTCATTAGCCGAAAACATACAGGGGAGAAAATAAGTTGGAAAAGGAGGTCAAATTCACTTTTGAAGCCTATGCGGTAAAGTTTGATCTATCATCGAAAAAAAATTGCTTCCAGATGAAAATATTAATTATGATCTTTCAGACAAAACCGACGACCCGTTCAGTCCAAGGCCCAATTTCATGACTCTCCTGCACCGCAGAATGTGCGTTTATAATCACCGCTAATTATAAGGTACTAGCAGTCTAGCTATGCAGAAACGTTAGCGTTATAATCCTACGGGATGTTAAGCCTAAAACTATTAGCTAACCCGTGAAATACACTAACGGTCAGTGGAATATTTTGCCAATTTTAGCGAAGATTGCACGAGTACGGGCACTGTACACCCACTAGGCCCTCTTCAATGGAGAAACCATTGTGCACACTATTAAATACAAAAAAACATCTCATGACGGATTTTTTGAAACAGGTAGCACTTTGCCTTCGCCATTGAAGGGGGCCTTCGTGATAGAATGGTTAGCGTGCTAGGGTTTGTCTATGGCATGGGGCCAATACAGTCGAACCCTGATAAGAAGAGTACTGTTAATACAACGCCATGCGTATAACAAGCAAACTGTTAGGTCCCGAGTCTTTGTTTTCCTTTGTTGTAGTTTGTAAAGTCCCAAGGACCTTGTTATAAAGGTGTTCGACTATATACATGTATACTTACGTTGTTTTCTAAGTAAGCAGTCCAGTAGTCGCTGTGATGGTTTGTTGCATAGGGACACCATCATGCCCAAAAACAGGAAGGTGAATGGTATGCCAACCAGAGAGTACACGATACTGAAGGCTTTGGCGCCCTCTGACAGGGGAGTCATGTGACCATAGCCTACGAAAGGAAGGGGAAAAGATATTAGAGGGGGTAGTGACGGGGAGGGGGCATCTTGGCTGATCGTGGGTGGCTTTGAATGCACTTTAGTGGAAGTTATCCTCTCCTTCGCAATTACAACTTTATGAAGCTGAGATGTGTTTGTCTTGAAGACATTTTCCTCCCCTACAATATGAATCTGGAAATCAGTTATACAGGGAGTTTCCCTTAATGAAACTTCGACATATAGTTTGTATTACGGGATCAGAGAACTAACGGGCCCATGACATGAAATGTTCTTGGGAACATATTTTGTGAAAATTTCTACTCCTCTTAAATGTATGAAAACTATTTTGACATCCCTTTTGGGTTAATCTGATTGAAAAGTGCCCTTTTAAAAATTTGCGACGGCAAAAATATCCAGTTCTGGCATCTTTTGGTGCTGAAATAGCTGTAACATTGAAGTTTCTGCCTGAAATGAAGTCACACTTTTGCTCATGACTTTGCAAATTTGCATTAGCCTAAAAAACAAAAATGCACCAAAATGCACATAAAAATGGCAAAATAAAACTTTGAAAATGAGGTTAAATGGAACACAAAAGTGCATTTATTAGGACTACATTAAAAAGAAAAATACATTATATGGGCCCTTTAATCTTCACAATCATGCACACCATTGCCAGCATCGTTTTTCAAAAACCGAAACCAAAACCTTACACATGTAATATCATGTATGTCATAAAGAATTCCAAAGATTCATGTTATTTAGGGACGCACATTGCAGGTCATTCATTGATGGTAACTATATTGGCTTTCGGCTTTGTTTTATCGAAAATCTGCGGTTAAAATCACTGCAAAAATGTACAGGGCGTCCTGAAAAAAAATGGTGCATGTAAACAAGCCTGCGGGTACGGGGGTGGAAGCTTTGATGGAAGCTTTGACCCGAAAGCAATAACTTCGGCCATGACAATGGTGACAAAGTTCATTTACGCTTGCCAGGATTTTTTTCATTCGATCTTTCAATAGGGGCAAATGTTCATACCTTTCCCCTGAAGGCTTTTCTTTACATTTAAAAGCTGCATTGACGTTGCTAACATTCTGTACGCAGCATTAATAAATAGCAAGGTTCACACACGCACACACCTCCAACATAATGGTAGTGGAATTGGCTTTCATTGAAACTATAGTCATGCTTAACGCCAATTCCAGTGTAGTTTCGTTTTAATATAAAAAGCTATTCATGTTTTACCCTTTGCAAGTTTTTTCCTCATAAAAACTCAGCAGACCGATAAATCCTTGCCCAGCCCCAAATGTGCCATCTACCGATCATAAACATAAAGATGCATTTGGTCTTTCAGTCTTTTATATTTGCCATTCCCTGTAACAAACAAATAACACTGCAAATATATCGAGAGCTACATCGTTTGGTGAGTTAGAACTATATGTGAATATTTATATAAACAGAAATTCATCCGCTTCCAGTGGAACCATTTGTTTTAACTTGAACCAAAAAAATCCTTTCGGGTTTTATAAGTTTCAGTATACTTCAGTATATTTCATCACAGTGCATCCAGAACTCCAACATTTTCCATAGCCTTAAAGCGGGCCCCTGGCCCTGTGGCCCCACGCCGTAAGGGCACGGAATATAAAACAAAACATACACGAAGGAATTTACTTAATGTAAGAATGCAGCCTTGCAACAATAATATTTACATGCGATGTCATGCATAGTGATACAATTCTTTTTCCAGAATTAAATGGAACCAAAAATGGAGATAAAAATACAGGGTTCTCCACTTTTCAGTACAGTTTACGGTTTAAGGGCAACAGTATATTGTAAACAATATAATGAAATAAATTGTATTTATAATCTCAAAAAACTTTGCTAAAAAATGTCAAATGAAAAATGGCCATTAATCACTTCAGATTGCACCATAAAGCATCTATATTTCAAATTAAGCCACGACGTAATGGTTTTGCGCTCCGCTTTCGCATTAATTTTGTCCGTTCTTTATTCCAGCACCCCCTGGCAAACGTTTGTACCAGCGGCAGTGCATGTAAACCCCTCCACTTTTGCTAATTTACAACCAAAATTTTCTGCAGATGTTCTACACCATCTTCAAGGTAATAAATTAACTTGATAATACCGTTTGTTTCATTGAGATTGTTTTTTTTTGTAAATCCAAAAATATGTTTGAATAACGGCAAAGCCAAGAAACCCATTTTGTGCCACTTTCTGTGAAGCAGTTAAAATCAGTATAGCCCTAGTCTAAAACCAAATCACTTTACTGTTAGTGATTTTAACATTTTTAAGCAGAGTGTGCAATATTTATTTATACTTAATTGAACAATTTCATTGAAGTTTTAAAGAAGTGAACCTGTCTGTACTATTAAATTGTTTCAACATGAGAACACAACCCTATATTGTCGTGTGAATGGAATGTTTGTCTTACACCCATTGGGATAATCTTATCAAAAGAGCCATACTGGCATTGTCTGATCTTTGAAGCACTCGCTTCCTATTAAAGTGGCACAGAATGGTTTGGCTTTGCGGTTATTCAAACATATCTCTGGATTTACAAAAGCAATCTTAATTAAACAAACGGCATTCTCAAGCTAACTCTGTAACCTTGAAGATCGTGTAAACATTTGCTGCAAATTCCGGTTGTAAATTGCCGAAAATGGCGGGGTTTACTTGCACCATTATTTTCAGGACACCCTGTATACCAGTATATATATTTTCGGTACGATCGCCCAAGCCAAAGTCTATAAACTAGACAGTTTTGTTTGCATATGCCTCACCTCTATCACCCGGCTGCCGACACGCCCATGAACGTTCATTCCTTTATCATTTGATCACCGCCTGCACTTGCATGGTATGTGGCATGTTTGACCAGGTTATCTCACTGAATACACTGACGTATCAATAACAATAAACCTCAGCGATAAACCTGCGCAGCATATGTTAGGTATGGTTTGTGATTTGCACGATTGCGTAATAAAATTGAGTAAACATAACTGAACCAGGGCCGCTTTTTCATTAAAAAAACACATGCTGACTGTACCCAGAATCTGTAGGTGTTACTATGAAGGGTGAGTAAAAAAATAAAATGAAACCCAAATTGGCAAGACCAATTTTTTTAATGAAGTTTTGCATGTAGCACTTTCAAAATCCAGGATACGAAAGTCCAGTCATTAAGTTTTCTTTTAGTATACTATAATCTTTCAAATCACTCATGTGCTTTTCAAGTTACGGAGTTTTGAACACAAGCACCGTTTAAAGGTTTTGTCCTCGGATCACAAAAAAGTAAGTGTTCTTTAAGCAAAACGAGAACAATTCTCATAGGGATGCATGTGTATTTGTTTTCATGGTGCGCGTCTTAACTCAGTATTTTGTGAAGAAATAAAATTTGGGAAAAAAAGAAAAACGACAGACACAATCTTTACAGTAATTATAATTAAGAATGTAATAACATGTGTGTGGTATTTATTACGCTTTATGAACAGCCGACTATTAAAATTACTAAAATAATTAACGGCTACCTTATGACCTTCGTTAGGATTGGAGAGGTATCTAAAATTGAAATAGACGCGATATGGTTGAATGTAATAAACATATTGGCAATAAATAACGCTATTACAAAATAATTATCGAACAGGTACATGTGTCTGCCGTGGATTTCGCGCTGTGCATTACTCGACAATACAAACAAACAGCCAGCTGTTGACATCATAATATCGATTGATTGAATGTGTCTATTTATACTGCAACAGGTTCCGTATCCACCACTTCACGAGTCTTTGTTGGGTTGATTCATTGGATTACGCGTGCAAATTGGCAATTGGTTTTTCAGATTTATCACATTCATGAAATTCTGATATTGATCTGATTGTTACATCATGATGGACCGTGATCTCACGGTCAACTGCCGTATTGCAAAACTGTCAGCAATGCATGGCAAATAATCGCAGACTAAGATTTATTTCACCAATAATATCATTTGGATTGTGTACACGTCAAAGCTTATAAATAACAAAGGAAATGCTTTTCGTTGTTTATTCAAGGTTTATGTTTACGACGGTCCATTTGCCGCCTTTGATGATAGAGCTGAATATGTTTTTGTTGCTGTTCCATGAGCCTTAAAGGATGGTGTTTACATTCGCTAAGATTCGTGGGTTTTGGTATTAATGCATTTAGTGTTGACAGTTTGATGACAATAGCGCCGATGTTTATGTAGTGATATTAATGCATATTATACACTGAGCATCTGCATGCACGCCGCGCCAGTTCACCCCTAAAATTTGAGAGGCAGCATCTGCATGCACGCCAGCTTACCCCTTAAAATTTGAGAGGTCCTGAGTCGATATCCTGTTGCCCAGCAAAACTTGAAGTCTCAACTCAAAATTACGTCAGTTTTTCTTCAAGCTTTTCACCAATGTATACTAAGTTTTGAGTCTCTCAACACAAATTTTACTTTCATATTACCACATGCATAGTCAGGCAGGAACAGAAAAATCGTGGAAAAATAACTTAACCTTATACCAGTACAAAACCTCGTAGTTCTACGCTCCACCATGGAGCTATGGCTCAACCAAGGCATTGAGGAAGAAAAACCGGAAAGAATTCCATATATGGCCATCACTAATTTGTCCCCGCAATGACCTATCAACCATCAGAAAGCGAGATAGCATGTCCTAAAAAGTCAAATTTAGCAGGTAAATATTGAAGCAGGCACTGAAAAAAACCAGACTTTTTCAGACCACTCTCATAGGGTTTGTGCACAGGGTGTCAAGTGATGTCAAGGTATGCAATTCTTTCCGCAAAACCTCCTCTATTAAGAGCTATGCCAGCATTTTTTTTGAGAAAATGAGCCAAAAGATTTCCTGTATATATGATGACAGCACGCTGTGTATTTAGCTAGGATGATCCTAGCGTTATGTTTATGCATAACTGTGTATGACCATGGATCTATAACTGGTATAACTTAATCATCATGTATCTTTCACACTTTCTGGCTTATATACATTATTCACACACTCTCTCAACTCTCCAAAAGAGGTTGTGCCAACGTATAATTCTGGGTTGTCCATCAAATATGGTGGGCATATCAAAGTACAGTCTTTCCTTAAAGTTTATAGTAAACACTAACCGATAGTTGTTATCAAAGTGACACTGTAGAAGACCGCCGAGGCAAAGTCCCACACCCGGTAGGAAGACCCGTCCGGCTCCAGTCGAATCCCTTTACTGCCTGCTGACAGGACCTCCTCCATGAAGGCGTGGATAGTGGAGAAGTTGACACAGGGGTTCTCCCTCATGAAGGTATCGGACAAACCCTGTAACCGGGCCTTGTAGCTATTCTCCACCGACTGTTCAAACGCCAGAAACACCCCGGCACCCATGCACAGGTACACAGTGTAGGCGATGGTGAGCAGCAGAAATCTGAAGTAACTGTTTTCTGTCAGCGCCGACATTGTTTTCTCATGTAATTTCTAAACCATTAAGTTGAATAGTTGATAAAAATCCACAGATTTCGTCCGTCACTCGTAAGCTCCGAAATACGCGATGCACGCGACTCACTAAAATCGCATCACCGTTCCAAGAGAAATTGCATTATTATAGCTAATAATGCCAGCGACGCGTCATTGAGTTCTGTAACTGAGGTTTCCCGGCACCACTGAAGGGCTGGCTGAGCTATTTGGATCCGCTATTTGTCATTGCGCGAAAAGTGGTACAAAAGAACCGGTGACCTGAGTATTCCAAGCTCTATAGGGCATGTTCAATTCTCCGAAATGATTGCTGCAGAATGGACGGGTTTAAATTGCAAACTGCAAACACTGTGCATGTACATAATAGTTGGTAATGGACTTCCGAACACGGAGCAGATGTTTAGGCCCATGGTTATAGCATTGATTATAAATATGCACTGGTATATAGTGCCGGTATATTATAATACAAAAATGTAACAACCTTCACGCAGTCAACCCAAGCGTGACTAGCCCCTCCCACTGTTTGCTTCATCAGATTATATCTGCGGGCCAGGAAATAATTGCAAATACACGTATGCGTGTACTGAGGTATACGGGTATGGGTCTATTTAGCAAGGCTGCCTTTATCATTATTGTGGGCGCACTAATATCGGTTGTGGTGTCGTCAACAATGAAGGGGGGTGGAAGTAAATCAGACCGGGGAAACTAGGAAGAACTCAAAAAGTTCGCTCGTACCCACCGCCCTAAACAGGGCGCTGCCGGAAGGGCTAATCTCTTTGATTCACACAATAAATTTGTGACGGAAGCACAGGCGTCGCAAAGCATAGGGGGCGGCGTCCATGCACAAAAGTTGAACAGCGATTCAAAAATAAGCAATCGTGATGTGTACGTGCGCGCAAAGGCAGTCCAATCAAAGGCTTTAAATGGGAGCTAGTTGCCAGTCCCACACATTTGGGGGGGGGGGGGGCAGTCTAGAAGAAATTACGTCATGCATCTCGAAGCGGAAATTAGCCCTTCCTAGCGCCCATGGTGAGTAAATTCAGAAAGGTGGTTGAACCATGGAGCTATCCTTTTTATAGCTCCATGGTTGGACCGTCAGACACCCTTCAGGCGTATGCTCTGACCATTGTTGATACATATTTGAACCCGACCAGATGGAAATAATCCTACACAATTTGCACTGTGCTGACTGGAACATGACGGGGTTCAGCAGACAGGGACGAAGTTGCCAGGATGGTTGAGTTAGGTGCTGGATCATGAGGCTTGTTCGTTCAATGATTGCTGACAAAAAAAACTAGCTGTGTGTATATGTTTGGATCGTTAGCAAGGTGTTTGAAAAGCGCATAGGAATCGATGCGATCATATGAATCAATATCAGCACTGAAGAAAACTTGTGAAAAAGAATTAATCATCAAATTATACATTTAACGCTTAATTTATGAGTTTGGTTCGAACACGCGATAATCAGTTGTGATTTTTGGACAGATGTTATCAGGATTTAAACATGGCAAGTACAAATTGAGTCATGTATAGAAACCACAGCAAATTACAAGAGGATCACTGTGGGGAAATTGCCCCTATATGATTCCAATGGCCTTGTGAATCCACGTTTTAGCCTAGTAGTGAATGTAGGGGACTTGTCAAGTTCACTATAGGATCATGCCCCCGGTACCCCGCTCGAGGCTACGGTTGCCGCGCCCTTTCCTTTATGCCATCCCATAGTATCAACCACATCTATACCGCCCTGAAGGCTGAAGCATGAAAAAGCAATCTTTATTTGTTCTTTATGAATTGTATTTACATCTTCGACATAACAATAGCAACACTATTTTCTCCATTCTTTGCGTCTCTACTATATCCTGATTTGTTTATTTGATCGGGTGTTTGTTTGTTTGTCTGTGGGGTTGTTGTTGACTCGACTCAAAATACATTCGTCTGATGTATGACGTTGTACATTATAGGCCCTACTCGCATACGAACACTCCTTCCGAAATATATCCCATACAAGAAATATATCAGTGGGGCGGCGAAACCGTAGGGGGGGGGGGAAACTTGCCCCCTCCCCCGATTAAGTGCCCTTCTCGCGATCATTAATGTGCCCCCATGAGATGAAACCAAAACTGCCCCTCAAACGCACACATATGTAAGCATAATGATCGCACTACAAATAAAATTGACGGTCCTCTCTTGTTAGGTTGTTGTGCAAATCTACCCTAGCTAGTACCCTCTCACATTAATAAGATAGTGCACCTTCCCGAGATGGAAATCTACCCCTCGAAATCACAAGCACCCCTTTTCGCAATATTGAAATTGTGCCCCTCTTGAGATGGAAAATTCGGGCCATCCACAATAGTGCCCCTTTCACGATCTATAACTTCTGGAGATGTAAACCGCCGCTCGAGAGCATAATTAGTGCCCAGCTTGCAACATTAAAATTGTGTCCCCTCTCAAGATGGAAAACTGGCCCCTAAACAAAGATATAGTCCTATTTAATTCATGCAAATGAGGCGGTCACTGAACTGGCCATCAAAAGCAACAGCTAGTGCCCAGGCTCGCGATAAAAAAAAAGTGATCCACAGAGCGGAGTCGCAGAGACGCGCACCGATAGAGGGCGCAATTCTCTGCGGCTCCACGACTCCACGATCGATTTTCAGAGGTAGGTCGACTGCGGTTCCACGCCTCCACGCAGCCGTACGGAGGCGCGGATGTAGAGTAAAGTGGCCCTGCATTCTATAGTTGTACCCATCATTTTTGCAATGACTGGCCTTCATTGGGGTGATAAATGAAGAAAAAAGCAGCATCAGGTTGCAACATTCTTTCCAAACAGGATCCTGGGGAACTGCACAAAAATGCTAAGTTCAGTCATAGAGCAAGGACTTGCTCTATGGTTCAGTTGAAGTCCTCCGTCATTACTCCGAGCCTCATAGATGAAGAATCCCACAAAATTGTTTGTAGCACAAAACACTAATTAAGTACAAAAACGTCCATCAAAATGCAGGCATTTCCCACAGAACCGCTGCACAGTTTGCCCCCAAACTCCGCACTACACCTCATGACATACTCACGTAATATGCGCAGAACAAACATCGCTGGATTTTGTCGTTTTTTTTTTGCTAAAATGATGAAAAATATGCCCTTTCTGCACGTAGTGGAGCTGTTGTGCCCATTCTTGAAAATCACGCATTCTCGAGAATGGGCGCGCATTCTTAAGAATGAGCGCCCATTCTTAAGAACGAGCACGCGTTCTTAAGAATGAGCACTCATTCTTAAGATTGGGTGGGAATATCACGTGCACAATTTATGAATTTTGCCCAATCTTAACAAACATTGCACGACATAATTATGTTAAATGAACTGTATAGCGGTTAAAAGGGAAACAATTCATATAAAGAGGAAAGAAAATGTTCTATGCTTCTGTACTCGTATAACTACGATAATTTGAATCATATTAAACCTGTTATTATTGCTTTTTCCTGCCTACTTATGGGAAGTTTTGTAATAACGGAGGACTGGGAACTAGTCTGGGAAGTGCTTTGTTTAGGCTAGACAAGTACAAGTCCCTGTATGTATCATATGCGTGCCACGAAAAAAAAACGATGTCCAGAAGCTGCCAAAATTGCTCTTTTAACTAGATAGAATCCAGCTCTGCGACGTTATGGTGGGGTGTGAACATAAAATGTGGTGGCAATTTAAATGGGAAATAGCATTAGCACTATGGGATGTCGCAGTATTCATTCTCATTCTTCACATTCTTCATTCTTACGTCCCCCCCCCTCTTTTATTATCCCAAAAATCTGAATTCTTTCTTATTTATTCTTATTTTTTCCCCCGGTCCCCTCCCCCAATACGCGTATACTTTTCATATCCACTCTACTTTGCAGCGCCTTGCGTTGCAACAGTATAATTAATAAGAATCAGTGAAAGCTAGACTTGCCAAGCGCAGCCGGTGCTCAGCATCGACAAGACCGTTATCTTGTTGCGCATTCTCAATAATGTGCGCTCAATCTGGAAGAGTAATTTTTTGCCAAGATTGAGCAAGGATCCAGTTGCACATTCTCAAAAATGTGCATACCCATTCTCGAGAATGCGTGATTTTCAAGAATGGGCACAACAGAGCCTCATAGATGAAGAAGCCCGCAAAATTGCCTGCAGCACAAAACACTAATAAAGTACAAAAACGTCCATCAAAATGGAGACATTTCACACAGAACCGCTGCACAGTTTGCCCCTATACTCCGTACTTTATCTCTTGACATACTCACGTATCATGCGCAGAACTAACATAGGTGGATTCTGTCGGTTTTTAGGCCAAATTGATGAAAAATATGCCTTTTCCGCACTGAGCCAACCTGACACTTGAAACGTGCACGCATATGATCCAGCGATGATTTTCGGTTCGCTCGGAGTGCGCCGTGGGGGGTACGGTACATGCACTTGTACGCATGCATGTTGTGCCCATTCTTGAAAATCACGCATTCTCGAGAATGGGCATGCACATTCTTGAGAATGTGCAACTGGATCCTTGCTCAATCTTGGCAAAAAATAACTCTTCCAGATTGAGCGCACATTCTCGAGAATGCGCGACAAGATAACGGTCTTGTCGATGCCGAGCACCGGCTGCGCTTGGCAAGTCTAGCTGAATCCTCGTTCACTGATTCTCAATAATTATACTGTTGCAACGCAAGGCTCTGAAAAGTAGAGTGGATATGATAAGTAAAGGCGTATTAATATGGGGGGGGGACCGGGAAAATATAAGAGACATAATAATACTAGTGCAAAGAATTCTGATTTTTGGGATAATAAAAGCGGGGGGGGGACGTAAGAATGAAGAATGTGAAGAATGAGAATGAATACTGCGACATCCCATAGTGCTAATGCTATTTCCCATTTAAATTGCCACCAATTTATTGTTCACATCCCACCATAACGTCGCAGAGCTGGATTCTATCTAGTCAAAAGAGCAATTTTGGCAGCTTCTGGACATCGTTTTTTTTTTTGTGGCACGCATATGATACATGCAGGGACTTGTAACTTGTCTAGCCTAAACAAAGCACTTCCCAGACTAGTTCCCAGTCCTCCGTTATTACAAAACTTCCCATAGTGGGCAGAAAAAAGCAATAATAACAGGTTTAATTTGATTCAAATTATCGTAATTATACGAGTACAGAAGCATAGCACATTTTCTTTCCTCTTTATATGAATTGTTTCCCTTTTAACCGCTATACAATTCATTTAACATAATTATGTCGTGCAATGTTTGTTAAGATTGGGCAAAATTCATAAATTGTGCACGTGATATTCCCAACCAATCTTAAGAATGAGCGCTCATTCTTAAGAACGCGTGCTCGTTCTTAAGAATGGGCGCTCATTCTTAGAATGCGCGCCCATTCTCGAGAATGTGCATGCCCATTTTCGAGAATGCGTGATTTTCAAGATTGGGCACAACATGCACATACTATCATTTCGCCTGTACCGTACCCCCCGCGGCGCGCTCCGAGCGAACCGAAAATCATCGCTGGATCATATGCGTGCACGTTTCAAGTGTCAGGTTGGCTCAGTGCGGAAAAGGCATATTTTTCATCATTTTGGCCTAAAAACCGACAGAATCCACCTATGTTAGTTCTGCGCATGATACGTGAGTATGTCAAGAGATAAAGTACGGAGTATAGGGGCAAACTGTGCAGCGGTTCTGTGTGAAATGTCTCCATTTTGATGGACGTTTTTGTACTTTATTAGTGTTTTGTGCTGCAGGCAATTTTGCGGGCTTCTTCATCTATGAGGCTCCACTATGTGGAGCCTCATAGTTCTAGGAGTATGCACACATGTGATCGAGCGATGATTTCATCTATGATAAATTAGTGAACTTCGTATATGGAAATCTTTCCTCTAGGAGTACTCCGTTATCATGTCCGTCGCCCGTGGGATCATGTCTATATTGTATATGCCTAGGCGTATAACTTTACATGTAGGCCCCAGCTAGCCCCATAAATATGGCCGATTTACTGGACTACCGCCGTAAATAAAGGCCACACTAGAAAAATGTACACGAAAATGTAGTCAATCAAATGCAGCTATGCGATGTCGTGCACTGATCCGACAAATTATAGCAACCGTGCACGCGCGTGTGTGCCATTTCAATGCTTGCGCGTGCTTTGCCAAATAAAAAAAAAACGAACTAATATTGGAAATTTCCAATGATGCATCTTTAGACGCATCGTTCGAAAGGCCTTCTTTCGTTGATTTAACTTCAAAATGACAGCATGCCAGAAAGAGTAATTTCACAGGGAATTTAGTTTCTTTACTATCTTTCAACCAAGTAGGTTTGTCTACAATAATTACGTCAGATACATTTTGGATCTGCAAATGATGGACTGTAGATTTAGATTTATTTTTAAACCAGGTATGTCTTGCCTTTTAGACCTGTAGACATTTTCACCCCACAGGGGCAAATATGCACCATGCCCTGCTTTTGTATGTTCAGGTTTCATCTCCATTTTGGGAGCCCCTGTTTCCATAAGTGCTGGATCCACACTGGTATGTAGAATCTCGAGACAACAAAAGTCAACCAAAATGGGCAAAACACATCCAGACTTCAGTGCAAAGTCAAGGGAAAGCATCATGACAATGTTGTCACTTTGTCACTTTGGTGGTATGTGTATTAAAGTCTATTGAGATGTGTGAAAACTTTATTTCATACCTAAATGGATCGTTTCTCGTGAAATATGATGTCATTGTCCTTTTGTCATTCTATCATTTGAATAGGTCAGACGCGCTTCATCAAGGCATGACATCCTCATCAAGGTCATCCGTGGGTCGGCCCAAGGAGGCCATCAACTCGCTGTGCCAGCTCATGAACCTCTGTGGCATCAGTGGGCTTAACCCAGAAGTCTTCAGGCAGGCTAAATTCAACAAGCCCGAGGCGGTAAGGGCAAGTTGTTATCCTTGATTTCTGAAAACCAGACTGCAAATTCGAAAAGCAACACCCGTTTGTTTTGGGTGAAAGGGTATGTCACAGAGGCAAAAGATATTCTCTTCACTGGGAGGGACTTTTGGAGACGCCTCTGTAGTCCGACATCCCATTGGTCCGACCTCCCATTGGTCTACACGTCCCAATGGTCTATATGTCCCGTTGGTCTAACGTCCCATTAGTCTGACGTCCCATTCAAATAAATAAAGTAAGTCCAACAAAATGTTGGGCCAGAACTGTGTGATGTGAAAATTACTTACATATATATCTATAGGCTTATTGACCACATTTGTAATGACTCGAGTCGGTGACTCGACTCGAGTCCGACTCGAGTCACAATTTTTGGCGACTCGACTCGACTCATGTCCCAACAGGTAACTGACTCGACTCGACTCAAGACACTGCGAGCAAAGGACTTGACTCGACTCGAGTTCCTCATCAGAAGACTCCATTCGACTCGAATTGGAGGAAAGATTTCCATATACGAAGTTCACTTAGAATTTTCCTCTGTATTGACTAACAGTAACAAGCCCCCAGATAGCAATTTCATGTCATCAAGTCAATTTGAGCAGTGAGAAAATACAAGCATTTTCTTAGAAAACACTTAGAATTTTTCAGTCCAATCTCATAGGGTTTGTACACAGGGTGTTGAGTGAACTTCGTATATGGAAATCTTTCCGAATTGGATGCTAATAACACTCGAGTCCCAAAACTGTGTGAAAATATATATTTCTGGTGAAATGCGGTACATTGTTATTGATGTTTGCGTACTTCACGTTACCGCACAACTACAGCGACTCAAAATTCAGTGTTTCATTACAACTCCGCTATTGACTTTTGTTTTTCTCAGGTGGCTCCGTTATGGTCACTCTTATCCTCTCTGACAAATTACTCCAAAGGCAAGGGAGTGTGGCCTGAGCCAGATGCCAGTGCGTCACATCAGGCAACACAGAGTAACATTGTTTCCTCAACAAAGCTTGCCATGTGGTCCGAGGGCTATCGCTGTCGCCAATTTTACCACCTCCCCGAGGACATGAGCCACGGCAGCCGTGAACTGCTCTTAGCCTGTGGCTGGCTCTTAGCCAGGACGAACATAGTGACAGACCTGGTGACGCAAGACAGAGCAAACATGGTGGACACGAGGCACTTGCATCTGGAAGAGGTCCTGCGGTCGAGGAGGCAGAGAGAGGAGATGAAGAAAATGAAGGATACGATCGTGGATGAGGAACGACAAACGAGTCACGGTGGAAAGCACCTGGTTTGGCTTGTCGGCCAATGCAGGATGAAATTAAGGAGACTGCATCTTCAACAACGAGAACTGTGCAATCTTACACATCAGGTTTGTGTGATGTCTTTTGGTTTAACACAGCACCCCAACTCCAAACCTCGCCCTTCCTACCTGAAAACGAATTCAGATTTAAAACGTGTTTTTTTTTCGCTATAATGTATTCTTAAATTGTATTTAACTAGTGCAGTGCCCGTTGAAAATGTGCCTGTTCGGAAGGGCCAAATTGCTTGGCCTCTGGTATTGGTTGCTTGCAGCGTTTTTGAGAACTGCTCATGCAAACAACGCACACGATTCAATGGTGTTGTTTTCGCAGGTTGAACGTACACTCACAGGTTGAATGCACATTTTGTACATGTGGACAGACACACAGAGATTCCTCGAATTATGGCAATAAAACATAAGGAAGAAAAGTGTGCCATTGTTTATTTACCTGTTGTTGACAATGGAATTGGTTTGACATTCTGGGGTCCTGAGCAATACACCTGCTGATTTTCAACTTCAAACAGTGTCCGGTTCTGGATATAATCTAAGTACAGACAGACACACAGAGTTTCCTGGAATTATAGTTAGATTATACAGGGTGAGTAAAAAAAATCAAAACCCAAATGTCGGGACCGTTGTTTAAGTGAAGCTCTGAATGTAGCACTTTCAAAATCTAGGATATGAAAGCCCAATTCATAAGCTTTCTTTTAGTACAAGAATCATTTATATCACCCACGTAATTTTCAAGTTACAGAATTTTAAACACAACCACTGTTTTAAAGTTCTGTCCACGGATCACAAAAAAGGTGTGCGTTCTTTCAGCAAAACGAAAACAATTCACACACATCCTTATGTGATTTGTTTTCATTTTGCTGAAAGAACACTGAAATTTTTGTGATCCGTGGACAGAACCTTAAAACGGGGGTTGTGTTTAAAACTCTGTAACTTAAAAAGTACATGAGTGATTTGAATGATTCTTGTACTAAAAGAAAGCTTATGAATTGGGCTTTCATGTCCTAGATTTTGAAAGTACTACATGCACAACAATGGTCCCGACATTTGGGTTTCGTTTTTTTTTACTCACCCCGGATAACATCCGTCAAAACTGACTTTAAATAGGGAACCAGGAGAGGGCGGGATTCTAAAAGGTGTTTATCACATTTAGGAAACAAATTCTTACATTTAAAATCTAACAAATAGTCCTAATGCACAATATTTCTCACCAGATTCATGTTGCTACTGAGGGGGTGACCACGACCACGGACTCTTCACATCTCTCTCCGCTAGAAGTCTTCATCCTCAGGCATGCCGAACATTCAAAGAAGGTTGGTGGCGGTGTTCTGATCTCTCTATCGTAGGTCAGCATGCATGTTAGCATTTTTAATGCAAAATGTAGTAATATAATGTGTTTATAATAAGACAGTTCTGTATTCCAACTGCGCATGAACACATGTAGATTTGACGATTTTTCTTTCGGGATAAACATTTGATAGTATGCATGCAAAAGCATAACGGGGTACTAGCAAAATTGAAAAGATCGTCGTGTTCTGAAGTAACATTTTTCAAAAGACATTTGGACAGCGACGTGTTTCTTGGTGTCTGGTCTGTTCAATCTTTTGTGCGAAAGTTTCATCGCTTTTCGTTTGCACAAAAAATAACACAATGCAGATTTGGTTACCACGTACCTCATAGCCTTGTGTGCATTTATCTGTCACGTTTATCCCGAATTTGTTTTTTCCTGTGCAAGTGCATTTTCTTTTAATGTCCATTTCACATCAATGTCTTACAAGAACGGTATATTAGGGTAATAAAGGAATAAAGGAAATTTGTCTGTGTAAACTTTTTCGCCCGTAAGAACAGGTAAAAATAAGCAGCGTGAATTAGAGACTAGAATATTGGAGGAATGGTTTCTTGTGGATTTCGACTCTGTTATCAGCTTGCCTAATGGGAAAAAACACCCCTCTTGCAATGTTTATCATATATGTGCTTCTTGTGAGCAGTACTACAAATCTCCTTACATGTATAATGGAGATTGGCTCACGTATGGCGTGTACTGTGCAATGTGTCGCACAATGTAGTGATGCCGGTGTAGTGTAAATTTAGGGGTCTATGAAATACGGACTCATTGGTGACTCAAGTGAAGATTGTGAACGTTCAACCAATAAAAGGGTAAAAGCACCAGATTTTGTAGGAGTCCAAATTCATGTGACACCGGGAACAAATTGTTTAAAACTGGTTGGTGTTTTATCATCCGTTTAAAACCACCAACGTGATGGGCTCTCAACCAATAGGAATGAGTAAACCGTCTCAAGTATTTATGAATGTGAATTAAATTTTGGGTTAGTTAATTAGTATTTGTTTGACCTTTTCCAGTACCAGCAGATCTTGGAAGCCAAGCAAAACAGACTTCATATCTGTCTGAAGTGGCAAGAACAGCAAGCTACATTTTGGCAGTGGATGGTGAGTTGCTTGCCATCCATAGAGCTATATTAAACTACTAGAGTGCTAACTCCTCATTCTTGCACGCGGAGACGCTTTGAAGCCGTCCTGGGCGCAGACATTGTGAATTCATGTGCGTGTTTGTTGAACACAATGAAATTAGATGGATTGAATTTTGAAAGTGTACTCTAAATGCAACGTGCTAGTAGAATGTACGCAAACAACTAAAGCGCGTCATGACGGTTTAAAAAAAACTCACGGTTAATCATCTATCTGCAGCGGATACGCGCACGCTTTGCGCTGTTTGCATAGAGCAAAATGACACGCTCATTTGCTGATCGTGCGTTTCCGTTTTGGGCGTACTGGTTTCGATAATGCACTGGTATAAAGCAAACGCAGATGCAAATAGCCGTAAAAAAAAACGTACAAAATTTCGAGTTCTCCATAGGTTTGTGTACAAACATGGATGCGCCCAGCAGGCATCACTTTGTACATGGGTCAGCGCTCTAGTAATTTAATATAGCTCTATGTTGCCATTTCCAAATCAAAGGTGCTGATTGGTTCCTTAACCCAAACCTGGTCAGATCTTTTAAAATCCATCAGGAAGTTTTGGAGGAATTTGCAAGATTGACGGAGTTGGATCCCATCAATTTTTTACTTTATGTGGGTTTGATACCACTTGAAATAACATACCATTTGTTTCCCCAAAGTGAAATATATTAGGAAGGTTAGTTAAAAAAAAGGTATCTTACGGAGGTAAGGTTTAAGTGTTATCAATAATCCAGTGATGTGTTATTTCTTGCAGGAAAGTGTCTTGGATGCAAAGCTTCAAGACTCCTCAGAGGAGGCAGAAATGACAGTTGAATTGCACATCCCTAATCCAGCACATGGATCAGTGGGAGATCCGGCAGATCTCGTCAGGGAGTTAGAGGGGCACACCCAGCAACTTGAGCAGCTCGTGGGAGATGCTTTGCGAGATTATGACTTTGATAAAGTGGTGAGGACTAGCAGTGATATTTCAGAAATATTTTCATGAAATAAAAGGGACTGGATTTTATAATGCATTAGCCAGGAAAACTAGACAAAAGGTATAGTTGTATACAGGGGTTAATGTTGGATTCTGACTTTAAAACCTGGACCAGAATTGTTATTTGCGCACAGCCCTGTAAGTGCCCAATTTGGTTCTGACATATGTGACAGGATTGCATGTACTTTGACAATATATCACTATTTACCTAGATCACTTACATTCATGGAGTGTTAAAAATATGGTTTCAAATGGTAGAAGCATGCACCTTAAAGGCCAAAGAATAGTCCTGCAGTATAGGTTTCTCTCAAATGACGTCACCTCCTACAGATTGTCTCGTGCATTTTGGGCATCAAATTTTAGTGATGCTCATCAGCTGCGCCATATTTCAAAAAAAATTTGAGCAACATGAACGCGTGTCTAGAACATTTTGCACACTGCGCGCACACAAACCTGATGGCGTTGAATACGCAGTTGTAATTTTCCTACGAAGATGGCTGTCTTATGAGAGGGGTCTATTGGTGCTTGTTTGTTTTTCTGCTCATTCCTGAAAAGTTTTTATAGCGAAATTAGTGTTACATGGACATTATAAGCAACATTTTCCTTGCTCTCCTAACATAGGCTGTAGAATTGGTCAACATTTCGGTGCCTATGACTTAGTATCAGGTATTGAAGTACAGAAAATAAAAAGGGAGGGAGTTTGTTTTTAAAGTTTCAAAGTTTCAACACCAGGAATTGGCCAATGTTATAAGCTGTGAAAGCCTTGAAAATTGGCACAACAGAGAAAGAGCATTCAGATATACAGCATTATTTGCCAGAAGATTAATATTGTATTAGATGCTTCCTCACATGCAGGCAAAACTAATTATTCTGTTCTTTTTTTATCCAGGAAAACTCAAAGCGGCTTAGAGTTGAGGGGGATATCAAGGCCAAGCTTGTTCCCGTTTGCTCATCTCCGACTCCTTGTCCATCAAGACTTGACGCATACCAGACAGCAAGGTTTCATCTTATCAAGAAGAAGCCCAGGACATCCGGTGGACAGCCTTGCCTCAGTAAAACCCTGGATGCTGTTTACATTCAGAACGAGATTTTGAGACTCTCGGAGCTCGTTGAGCAATTGGAAAAGGATTTAGCAGAACTGAGAAGTTGTCACCGTTTGAGGATGGACGAGTTGGCTTTGATGTTGCCAGATGCGATCTGCATACCGCCAATGGGCGCTGCAAGATGATGAAGTTTACTTGCTAGGATCTGTAGAAAAGCCCACGGAAAAACAGTTTTACCGTCATGTCCCAAACATCCAATAATATGAAAAGTGTATCTTAATTTTTCAATTAGCCACATGTACTGGATGCTGGATTTATCCAGTGGAACAATCAATCCTATCTTCATCTGGGGTATAGACCTGATTCGAGTAAAAGGCCTAGATGATATCATGGAACAATATAGGCCAGTGCCACTAACTTTTAGGACACTGATATGGGTGATGTGGAGTTCTACCAACAACAAAAAAGTCAGTGAGCCGTCTTTTGCCATGTTTATTGTTTCTCAAATAATAAAACTGGAAATGTCTTGAATTTCTGACAAATACTGAAATTGTCGCTTTAGCAATTCATCGGGCTGTTGTATGCTTGACCCCAATGGTATATCAACGGAGCTTGGAATGAGCTTGAAAAAGTTGTTGGTTGTCAAAAGCGACACACTTACATGTAGGCTAGGATTTTTCTTCATCAGTCTTTGATTGGATTTGAGGAATTGCAACACCTGACTCCCAGAAATGAGCTACAACATCTAGGAGACAGGCGGGGTATCATTGCCAACCCTACTGGACAAAAATGGTATGTATTTGGCTGTGCATCAGTCTTGGCAGTCTGGGTTTTTTTTCAATCTGTGTGAAATTGTTTGCATAACAATTGGTTTGGTTTGTGCATCTATATATATTAGGGCCTTCTATGCAAACATACATTCTGTGCAAAATTGTCCTTTCAGTCAAAATCAATCAAGTGACTGTTTTCAACAGTTCAGAGTTCCCAGCCTACATTAAGCAGGATTGGCTGGCTGTGACTGTTTATGTATCTTGATACAGCAATGCTTTGACTGTAGGTGATTGATAAGCCAGCTGTGCCAACTTCTTGCGAAATTTTGTCTGTTGACTGAATTTGACTAGTCATAGTGCTTGCCAGACATGATATGACTGTTGGTGACTAATAATGTGTGGAAAAGGCATGGCAGAGGAAGACAATGGATTTTTAAAAAAAAATTTCAAACAGCAGGAGGGTCAGTAATGGGTTTGACCACAATTGACGAGGGGATTACATAGCTTCTGTATATATTTTTAATACATTGATAATTAGAACGTTGATTAAGCAATTTATTTTTAATTGATGTTTGGGGATGGGGTGGGGGAGGGGCTTGTGCCAGAAGTCTGTGCCCTTGGGTGTGCCACTTTTTACCAGACCCTTTTTTAATGTTTCAAAGTCTAGTCTGGCATCCCCAGTTGGAAAAACAAGGTTGCACCAATGTTGAAAGATATCGATTTTAGAATTCCACTCACAGTTGATCGAATTTGAAGACGGCAAATAGCGCCCTCACCCGCCCTATTTTTCAGACAGTCGGAGAGTGCCTTCACTAGTGCGCGGGAAAACAAAAAAACTCGGAAGCCATGCCTTGGATTTCGGAGATCGACACGTTTATACGCAGACGCGAATGAAAAACAGCGGATGACGAAAAAAAGATATGCCGAACATGCAAAGAATGCCTGGCTATTGTTATAGTGGAATTCGCTTATTTGTCGTCACTCACCCATGTTCGTTTATCGGGTAAAAACGTAAGCAGAATCTGCCGACAAGGCAGGCCCAAGTATACCGTTCTACTTGCGCAGGCTTGTGAAAAAGTTGCGACCGTGGAAATTTCAGATGGCGTGGACAGTTCCTCTCTTTGAAATATTGTGAGATTTCTCGCAAAGGATTTTGCTTCGGACTCGATAGTAATCCCTCGTCGTTTCCAACTATGTTTGCAAGGAGATGGACTCGAGTTTGGTCGGTTTTGTTAATTGTGATAGTTTTGGGAGCAATTTTACCGTGTCGTTGCGAGAACCCAGACGGGCCAGATGACGTTGGCGTCGGGCAGTTACTTCGCGATGTGTCCACCTCACAGGTATCTTGACGTACATTATGGATGCATATTGGCAATTTGCCTTGGTATTATTATATAACATCAGTGATAGTCTTTCATTGCAAAAGGTTATTTGAAGGGGGAAAACGAATTTGGGATCAAAATATTCCACGTTTGTAATTATAAGGACATACTTAAAGGGAAAATACAACATTTGCAAACATCGAAAAATGAAACTACCAAGTTGTTACGAAATACCTTACTAGGATGTTGGTAAATGACATGCTTAAGCATCCTGTAAAATTATGGCACCTGGTGTGAAGCCATTTTCAAGAAAATAGTATATTTGGATACATTTCCAACGCTGGTCGGCCGACCACCGTTGGAAAAACCTAACTATTTGTCAATTACTGCACCAAATTTACCTTCTTTTTTTTAGTATAAATTTTGTTTTGCTAGCTATTGGTTCCATGCTCATGAACGGGTGCAGGCCAGCTAGACTGGTTCCCTTACCTTACAATTTTCCGGTATGTTTGATCCATTTCATCTTTAGTGGAGTCAGGGAACCAGACTACTTGAATATTTTGGTTTTTCTTGGTTTTTCCAGCATTTTCGAACACAAAACTTCAAACATGTCAGTGTAACAATATTTGATCTATTATACTAACCCCCCAAATAGTTCATTTCTGAAAATTACAGCAAAAGCCAATGATGTACATTCCCTTTAAAAAATATTGGGGATAGAATGTTGCATTCAGCCACTTCACAAAGGCTGCTGCCTGCCCCAGTATATGTTTACGCTTGAGCTTGTTAGTATACATGGATACATGTAGGTACACAACAAACTAAGGGCATCATCGACCCCTATCTGCAAAAAAAGTTTTTTCATAACGGATTGTCCTTTTGCTTTTTAAATAAAATGAACTTAAAGGCTTCCTTTAGTTTTTGTTAAATACATGTACATGTATTCGAGGGTACATGGAGTAAACGTTTGTCACATTTTATAATGCGGGTTCCGTTTAAACGGTTTGAAAAATTTGTAAACGGATTCAGAATTTTTATCGTTTTAAATGTTTAAACGTGTGAGTGTTACATCCCTATTAATAGCCATGCATAAGTATGCCTAGATTATACTAGATATCATCCGCATTGCTTCTGGATCTCATACATGTGCACACTGCTCCAACGTGTGTAAAAGTGGTCACCTCTCCAGCAGAGAAAAAAAAAAAGAAATAAAGGATGATTTTAGAGGATTGAGGCTGTACTGCTGTATAAATTCTTTACATGCTTTCAATAGGGGTATTTTGCAGGATTGGGGATGGTGAATCGCCAAAAGGGCAGGGGGGGGGGGGGTTAGGGCTATAATATGGTTGTACTTCTCAGCTTCTTTTGAGAAAGAAATACACGAAGGAGACCCCAAAAGAAACACAAAAACATCAAAATGCAAGAAAAAGAAGTTCAATCATGGCCATTCACAAATGTTACATTTCTTTTAACTTTTCACACCCTAAAGCTGCTCGTAAGCTGCATAAACCAGAATCAACATTCTAAAATAGTGACGTGACTTGGTGCTGTTTCTAAATTAAATTTGTGTCAATTTTTTCTCGCATCTTGCAGGCGGTGTACCGGTCTAGATCATCAGATAATCAAAGTCGATTGCGCAGAGGTGTTTCCAGAGGTAAGTCAATCACAGGAATGGTTATCAAACGTATTAATAATCCTTACCCCCATGGGGTATTCTCTAGGCACCCTGCCAAATGCAACAGAATGCAGTGAACTAATACATGCCCGCCTTGGTACCAAGTACCTACCCTGCCAAATGCAACAGAATGCAGGGGTGGAATGCATCAGATCAGGACTCTGCTAAATGCAACAACTTGCAACAACTTTTTACCACTGGTGCATTCTGTTCGTTTAGCAGGGTAAGCTAATGATGAATGGTCTCCATTAACATTATGGTTTAGTGCTGTTAATGATTTCTACATCATGTGTTGAAGGTAATATGTGATGCGCTCACGTTTGTCGGGAACTTTCATTTGGAGATTCAGGCCAAAATAGGGCCACTTCATCACATCACTTCATCACATCACTTCATCAGATCTCTTTGTGTTCCAACTTCCATAATTTGTGAACTAAAGATGGTATCAGCATGCAATTTTCAAAGCACTAATGCTGAGATTGTGCTCTTTTCAAAACTGTACAAAAAAAAAAAAAAGACCAGGGTCGATTAACGACTCATTTAGCTTGATCGCATCACATATAGGATCAGGAGCTCAGTGTTCATTTTTATTTTAATTTGAAGCTACAAAATTGCTCCAAATCTTAACCCTATAGCGTTCCTGTAATGCAGCATTGGTTGTGCATTGCTATAGCGTTCCTGTGTTGCAGCATTGGTTGTGCATTGCTATAGCGTTCCTGGAATGCAGCATTGGTTGTGCATTGCTATAGCGTTCCTGTAATGCAGCATTGGTTGTGCATTGTAAAAGCATTTCTGGAATGCAGCATTAGTTTGTGCAGTGCTTATTGGAGTGAGCAGTGCGATATTAGCTGTTTATTGCTAATAGGGCTCGTTCAGAAACCACAGGTTGTACTAAAGGTTCCCAAGACAATCATTTAATCATTGTGTCTGCCATAAATCATCGTGGTAACTTGAGTTACCGACCATTCAGTTGCCACTTGTCCTTGTGTTTGTGTAATTGCCTAATTAACAGAAGGTCTAAGAATCAATTCCTGGGGCGGTAGATTTCCACCCAAAACAAGCCTGCATCCTTTAGCCTTTAGACTGCTTGTGTAGTCCCTGGTCCGAGGATCAACTTGGTTCGGGAACAGTCCCGCCACAAATGGTGTCAGAAGTGGGATTGGAATTGATTAAGGTGACTTTGCTGTTAAGTAATTGGATTGAACTTTTGGTTGTGGATTGTTGTCATTGGTTCGGTGGTTCTTTTGAAGTATGAGCGAATTGGGCTCGAATGTTCCAGTGGGCACCTCAAGTGCTGAGGCCGAGGTGAAAAGGCTGCAAATGGAAGTCCAATTTCTGCAGTGGGAAAGAGACCGCATTGCGATGAAGTTGGAGGCTGTCTTGAGGTTGCAGGCATGGGAGGAAACACGGGTGCGCCAGCCGAGGGCCGGCGTGTGCTCCATCGGGTTGATTCTGATGTTGAGTTTAGGTTGTCTGAAGAGACTTTTGGGTTTGTCTCTGGAGCAACGGGGAGAGTGTCAGGTGCAGGTGTGGTGCCCGAGTTAGCCCCTAATATGGGGAGAGAGGTGTGCTTTATGGAAAGTACATCTCGGAAAAGACATAGCTCAGGGATTTTCCCCAGAGCGCAGTCGACGCCTATTGCCAGGGAGGCAGACGGTCCAAATGAGGATCTGATGTCGTTCATCTCTGATGGAAGTGGCGTGGAATGGGTTAAGGCGAGTGCCAACCCGTTCGTTGGTGATATGGGGATGGTGACCCCTTCACCGGGAAATGGTGA